TTTGTTGTCTAGTTTCTGAAGCTCAAACATTTGTTACTTTTTTTTGACAAAAAATTTATTGATTTTCTCGGTAAAATTGACGCACAATTTTTCAATCAATCAACTACTGGTGAATTAATTTATTTAGTCAATAAATTGATTGTTTCAAGAATAACAATTCAACAGTAATTAAAAAATTATCAATTAATCTTTTTTTTTTTGCTGAGAGAAATGGAAAAAATGTAGATTAAAAAATAATTGTCATCTTTAATTTAATTACCCAACTAGAATACCCAATTGAGTAAGTTTGCAAAATTAAAGTTAATTAGATGAACAAACTGAACGATTCCCCGATAAATTAACTCATTATCGATCCTTGGACATGGCCGAGCCATTTGTCCCGGAGAAATGGACTCAATGAGGAGACATAGAAAAAATAGGCGCGCCACAATGAGGAATTTCCCACGAAGACAAATCGCCCGTTTACGAGCTGATTTATTCAAACTGACTGCCGTATCCGTCGTTGAATCGCTACAATTTTCCAGTACGCCTACTTAATGTCGATCGAATCACTTAGGGTTCATTATCAGTCGTGAGCCAATCAATTGAGCATCAATTTTTCGATTCCGGTTGTTGCCATTTTCGTTTTTACGATCACAAATTGATCATTCAAGTCTCAGTAATTCTATTCACTATTTATTCATTAATTTTCCTCTTCACTGCACAATTGACGATGAGTTACTCTTATTTATGATGATAAATTAATTAAATTCGTGACATTAAAGAGTATTCATGAAGATTAAAAACAAACAAGATGGATTTCAGATGAGTATTCAATAAAAAATGCCACGTGACATAGTTATTAGGCTTCATATCAATCATCAGAGGAATTGAATAGCAGCAGCCCCAGAAGAGCCAAATAAAAGTGCACAGCAAGGGGTCACAGTAATGCACGTGCGTGGAAACAGGACGCCTCGTATTTCCGCTCGTTCCGAATATCGCATTACACCGATTACGTAACGCGACACGCGAACCTCTTCACTACGCACTCTTCACACTTTTTTGTTATTTCGTTTTTCAACCCCTTCAGCCCCGTCTGGACTCGCTCGCGACTTCGGAGGGACTTCCGTCTCATCGATTTCGCCGAGTTGCGAGTGGTTGAGGGATGAGTGGGCTCTGTTCACCCTAGCATTGTCGATAGGGAGAAATGCAGCCACCCGTGGGGTAATGGGGCTTCCCCGAAGCCGGTGAATCCAGCTCTGGGGCTTTTGTCTATGGGTGCTAGACAGTGACTTGTAAATCCCATGGAAAAAAATCTGTCTAAATCCGAATAATGTCTCGACAGGGTATTACGCCCGCGGAATCAGCCACTGTGAATCCCTCGTGCTTCATAAAATTCTGAATTTATTAGGAATGGGTAAATAAATCTTTTCCTGGTGAAACATTCATGAACTTGAAATGTTTCACTCAAGTTTTTCCTTGCTTTACATTTCTGCAGGAAAAAAACGTGATAATTTTGTTTATTTATCTCCGAATCAGATGAAGCGATTTTGATAAGTCAAAAATTGCTTTAAAATGTGTGAAAAAAAGGGAATAAAAAAAAAGATTGAATCTCACTCTGTTCTAAAAAGAATGAACAAAAATACAAATTAATTTAGTAAAATCAACCCGAATGTGAAACGTTACTCACATGGTCTCATTACCCGTCAGCAACAGACGTGTAATTGTACCGAGGTATAAGAGAAAATCCTCTTTTCAATCTAAAAACCGAGTATTCAATGAAACCCGGTAAATTAAACTCGTGAAAATAGCAATAAATTGTTTATAACGGTATGCGGTGGTAGATCTCTCTCCTCAGGATCTAATAGCTCCTTTAGCCTCGTTAAAGTCCTAACTGAACTCGAAACACCATCGTAAACCAGTAGATCTCGATGAGACGTTAATACTTTTCGTTTACTTCCACGTCAATTAATTTAATTTCAATTTAGCGGAATGAAAAAAATTTTCGCGATGAAAATTGCATATTTTTCTATTTGTCTATCTTAATTGATCGCGGGAAAGGGGAATTCAACGAATGTTTGTATCCCCGGACATAAATCGAGCTGAATCTTCCCGAGACAGCTGATCGTAACGTAATTGGATGGGATCGGTTAATTTCTCGTAAATCTTCCTTCCCTCAGGGGGAAATTGAATAGCCGGCGACTTACGCAGCGCATTTATTCCCATTTGAATCGAATAGAACTTTTCATTTGATATTTTTTCATTTATCGCTTTATTTCGGTGATGCAATTTTAATTTAATTCAATTATTCAATGAGTTCCGTTTGATTAATATTTTTTTAGGCTTTATTTACGCATTTTTAGCGATGTAAAGAGGGTTATTCACACGTTCCTGTTTAACATAAGTAATTACATTAATTTAAATGGTAATTTTTTCATGTGTCGATGAACTGAGAGACTCGCACGAACGTGAGAAGGATAATTGGGAATTAAACGTGTGTATTCATCATCTTTTTCCACTCATTGTTGGAAATAATCATCCGCGGATTGCGTAAAACTGCTTGAATTATATTTTTTCTCTTGTTTTTGCGGCGAATATTTTCCACGGAAGTCGACGATTCTTGTGTACTGTCGTTTTATCGAGTGGAAAATTGCTCTGAAGAATAGGCAAGAGAAAAAATTCAATCACTTGAAAATTTAAATAATTTTTTTTAACTGCGAAGACGTTGAAACGAATTTAGGTCGAATGATATTCGACGATCGCGTGACGGAGGAATTTCAAATAAAAGAAATTTCGACAGTTTGATAACGGGTGTCTGCACTGGGGCACATCACCATGACGATATCGAGCCAATGAAAACTCCTCCCGCTGAGATTTATCGGAGAGTTGCGGAGACATCCCTCAAACTGGTACCACAACTTCCACTCTCTTCACTCTCCTGTCTCGGGCGAATACACCTCTTCTCAGTTTTATTTATTAGGTTCGTTCGTGTGCCCTCAGCGGATGATATTCACGTTTGACATCCATATTTCATTTCTTTTGGTTCTAGTGTCCGTGACGGCACGACCTAGAGGCTTTATGTAATCATTCACTGGATTTGTCTCTGTCATTTGGTATCATGTTGTCTTATGTATCTTGTGTTGTCGTATCATATTCATTGAAACAACAAGCGGTCTTGATTTTTTTTAATGCGATTCTTGTTTCGTAAAAAATCAAAAGAAAATTATTTTATTCGCTTGGCAATAAGGATTGATGATTTTAGTTCAACTTCGCAGCAAAAACGAATTCCTGGTGTTTGGCCATCGGTTCGTCTGAAATTCAGACAAATTTTCTCTTGATTCAGGCGTTTTTTAGTGTCTGAAAATTGTCTACAAGACGTGTACGAAATTCAGACATTCGTTTTTGACGTGTTGTTCTTCAAGTAATTGCAAAAAAATTGAAACAAAGGCCTAATTATCCGCCGAATTAATAAAATTAGCAGTCCTTCCAATTAGTCTGCAAAATGGACACAATAAATTTGCAACGAGTGGGTGGATAGCCATTAAATCCAACCCAAAACCGTCTGGACCCGGTTAAGACACGAAGGTTGTTAGGTTCGTTTAACGTTAGGTGCACTGCCTCCTCACCCTTCCTTGCAGAGGCGTTTTGCGGCTTGGATTTTTGCAGGAGGAGGCCTCGACGAGCCATATCGCTACGTATAATGCCGCTCGTTTCCGATCGCTGCACGGGCACACCCATATCCTGTCCATATCATGAATTTTTTTCCTCTTTTCACTTCCTACGATTGATTATCCTCGTTTGCATCGTCAATTTGAGTTTGAAATCAAATCAAGTTCAATGCATCCCAAATCATTCTCCAAATTTCATGCGAAAGAAAAAAAATCGTAAAGTTTCTCATTGAATAAAATCATTTTTTAAATTGTTCAAATCTTTTTACTTTTCTCAATTGATGAAGAAATTGTTATTTTTTTGTCAATTTGAGTTTAAAATAATTCTCCAAATGTCACGCGAAAGAAAAAAAAATATTATGAAACTTCCCATTGAAGAAAATCCTTTTAAAAATTGTTCAGATCCTTTTTGTTTTTCTCAACTGATGAAGAAATTTGTTGAAACAATTTTAATGACCAGAATAACTGTGAAGGGCCCCGGGGAAATAAAAAAACAAAGCTCACGTGCCTCCAGTTAGTCAACGCGTGCCCCAGAATTATTGTACCCGAGACGAGACAAAACGAGAAATGGGGAAGAAATGAGAAAAAAAATTCGTGTAGACGTAACTCAACGGAATGCCACGTTCGTGGCACCCGGTAACGATACAGGAGAGTCTCTAACCGTGCGCCAGCACGTGCACACTAGACTCCCGGTGAACGGTCCTTTATAAAACCGTAATTGCTGCTCGATGCTCGCACACACCAGGGTGACCAACAATCCGTGAATCCTCTTCACGGATTCCCCGCTGTCGGGAATTACTATCAGACATTTGCATAATTCGTTTAAAACGAATGAGCGATGCTTTTTATCGTCAATCATTCGTTTTATTATTTCGCTTTACTGCTTTATTGTCTTTTGAAATTTTCGTTTTCCCTATTTTAAGTTTTCTTTTCTCAATTTCAGTAGATTTCAACTATTGCCCAGTTTTCAGTGAATATCTCGAAATCTAAGCGAGACAGCAAAATTTTTGTTATACCTTTTTTTATATCTCTCAATTCACTCTATAAAAAAGGTCCTCATGAAAATTTGGCTATCTCCCTTAGATTCGGAGATGTTTCTCGAAAACTCAGGGCCAAGTCGACTTAAACCGTTGCACCGCTTCGCTACCGATTTAAATCGCTAAAAATTCGGATTAAAAAAAATTCTAATGCGAAAAATTGAATTTCGTGACACTGATAAATGCGTTTTTTCGATAAATTGTAGTTTTGAAAGAGAAAAAGAATCGAATTTAGGTCATTTGCGAAAAAAGGAAAATAAAGAAAATTAAAATTTCTGAAATTAATGAACTTGAGGACTATTATTTTTTCTTTCAGGGTACTCAAACCACCTGGTGGCGGTAGCAGTGACATATTTGGTGGAGCACCCGAAGACATCAGCCCCCGTCGTGTGAAGAATCACAATCAGTCTCAGCTCGGTACAGCGCTGTTTGGCGATGGTGTCCCAAGTACAGGAAGCAACAGTCCCGATTCACCCAGAGCAAAGCCCGGTAATGATTCATACAAACGTCTGTTTGGCCCCCCCGATCCATCCATCCCCAACACGAAAAATCACATGCGAAGCAATATATCACTGAGTGGATCTCAAGATAATGATTCACACGATATCAAAGTCAACGGAGTTAACGGAGGTCTTAAGTGTAATGGCAATGCCATCAATGGGAATGCTAATACTAACGATATCACAGGTAAATTAACGCACTAATAACTCTATTAATTTTTTAACATTTCCGATTACACGGGATAACGAGGGGGGAAAAATCAGAGCGATTTTTTTGCGTTATGAAATTGCTGATCTCGTTATCTCGTGCCATTGGAGCTAAACCGACACTTTAAGTATACTACCTTGAAATATGTGAGACAGGCCACTACAACTTTTATTTCAACATTATTAGATTTTTTTTTCAGTAAAACGTAGCCTTGAGACCATTTTTTTTACTTTCAAAATACAATTTATTAATTTTATTTGACTCTGATTTATCCTGATGTAGAATCGATAAATTGTTTCGGTTGGGAAATGATAAAATAGTTTGAGTCGAATGTGAAATCTTTGTTAATTATGAATATGCTTCATAATTAAATAGATGACACAGATTTTGCGTGATTTTTTTATTGCTGAATATGAAAATTCACTGAAGATGTTTTATTTTTCATCAAGATTGAAAATGCATAGTACAGATTATTGTTTAATCTAATGAAACTTCTGCATTTTTCATTATTTGTCAAAATAAAAAAATTGGTCTTCAGTAGAATTTTCCTATTTCACTGTCTTGTCGAATAAAAATTTCATGCAAAACTCAATTTTATCATTTATTAACGCAATTAAAACCCCAAAAGTATAAATCAATTCTGTTAACGCTATTTAACTCCAAAATATGTCTGTTGATATTTGCAAGCAGCATTTAGGAGAAACAAGCGATTTCGTAAGTGTGCAGCGAGACAATCGAAATATAGATTGACACGACACAATATCAGTACACAATTCCCTAGATATTTTCATTTGTCCGTTGTATGAATTTTCGAATCTTCATCACCATCGAAAATGGTACAGAATCGATGATAGGGCGCGGAGAAGAGTAGTTTATTATCGCTTCGACTTCATTGATTTATCAAGGTTTAGGGCCTGAATTCTATTGAATCCACATATTTTGAGTTAGTCATCAATATTTTGCTAATCAGTTACGTTTGCATTGTTTTCAACACCATTTGGAGTGCTTTTACGTTGCTTTTGTTGTCACTGAACTTTGGCTTCGTTACTTATTCATAATTTCTCACTTTCTACCGTAAACGTCATCAATTTTTCCTCCATTGTCATTCTTCTTTATCTTCGAGCCAACTCTCGTAGGCTTTCACGTTGAACCCGCACATTTGCTATTCTCATGAATCAGTCGCTCAGTGCATTTTAACGTTTCATCAATTTTTCATTTATTTTTTTAGTTATTTATCCCTTCTAATGCGTCTAAAGATTGAATCTAAAGTCATTATCAACTGAAAAAACAATTACGTATTATTCATTTTATGTTTTTAGATAACGGAAAAAAAATATTTTGACGAATGAAATTATTTATTTGAGATAATCCTTTCGATTTGGGTTTAATTGACTTTTATTCATCTTTGGAAAATTGATTCATTCTTAAGACGCCCAAATATAAAACACTAACACATAATTTCCACTGGGTTTCTGGATGCAATTGTTGTCTCGGTGCATGGATTTAAAAAAATGACGGAAAAAAACGAAAATGTGCTTTGGTGCGGGGTTAATTGTCGCTCTGAATCACAAAAAAAACATGTGGTGTGTGGTGTTGAAAAATTCCTGGTGCACGCCTCGCGCAGGAGGATCTTCCTGCATGCCTCGAAATCCAGTTACTGGAGACGGAATTGACATAACGCCGATCAGGCGCAGCGCACGAAAGTTTAGAGGTAACGTTCAACAATTTTAAAGGGTAAATGAACAAATGGCTAACGGCTTAATTCTTGTTTTCGTGTGGTTTAATGTCATGAATATGAGAATGTGGATGGGATAAAGGTCTTGGAGAATTGATTGGAGTGGTGGAAACAAGAAACTTTTTTTTTTATGTACGAAGACTATTTTTTCACCTACAATTATTTGGGAAATCAAAGCTGAGAGATTAAGCAATAAAAATTGGTTGCGAAGAAATAATTATTATCATTAAATTATGTTAATGGGAGGAAATTTCTCATCAACGATTTCTATATTTTACCATTTTTAATGCAATTCATTTTGGAAATGCATTCTTTCCTCTGCATTCTCATTTTGTCTGTGAGAGAAAAAGTTTGCCAGTTTTTCTTTAGTTATGCAAGCTCGATATTTACCACCTACCAATGTCACTACCCCTTTCATGAATAAGGAAAGAGGAAGTAGAGGCAAGGCCACCATAAAAGTGTGGAGGATATAATAAAAATACGCGATTCTGACGCGAATTTACCATGAGCTTTTTTATTTCGCACTTGAAAAATTATTTCTACGACAAAAAAAAAATTCTACGAAGTTGAAATGAATGGAATGGAATTAAAAATTGTAATTTCATAGGTCTGGAGGTGGGTACGAGGTCACTCAGTGTTGTAGCACCTGTTTTTGATGACTATAATCACCTCAGTAGATCATGTAACGTTGAAAAACGAGTTCTCACGTGTGTGTGTTTGTTGAAATTGAAGAAAAAAAATGCAAAAAAATGTAAAATCGAACCTAAGCCAATGAAACTCTAAAAAAATCCTCATCCAGCTCCCAAAAAGCCCTCGGAAATGCTGACAACTCTTTATTTACAAGTAATTAACACCACAGATGGAAATCCAGTGACTGGAACTGGCTACATCGAGACTGCCCCATCGCAGAACGGTGGCAGCAGTGCATCGAGCGTCAATGGAGATCAGAGATCAACAACTGATTCATCACCAGCAAGTGTCAACAGCAAACCACGCGGTCGTGTGCCACCCGGTGGCTTCTCCTCAGGCCTCTGGTAAACTCCAGATCAACAATGCAAAATCAACAACTCCAGACTAACCCGAAAAATTCCAGCAGTCTGAAGTCTTAAATTATTACCCATCAAGAAAATTCAGATTAAAATTTCCCATGGAAACATCCAGATTCATTTCTGATAGAATAAAATTCCACGATGATTATTCAATTCATCAATTAATTGCGTGATAAATGATTAAATAAATGCAAGTGCACCCTAACGTTTAAGTCAAGTGCTTTCTTAATTCTGTGCCTTTTGTGTCTCACGTTTACTTTCTTATTTTAACGATTAAAAAAAAAATTGTGATTATGAGAATTCGAATATTGCTTGATGATGGGTAGAACGAGTCAACTTGATCGCGAAATTTTTCTCCATCTTCTGATTTTCGTCTCGTCGAGGAGAAAAAAGAGAATTCTTGAGATTCTGTAGAGCGAAATAACGAAGGCGCACTTTTTTAAATTGATTAACTGTAGATGAGATTATCCGAGTCTTGCGAGCGTGCTCTATCGTCGCTCCTGTTCTCCTGTTATATTAATTCATCAAACGTGCGTAGAGTACTCATTTATTATTCAAATTTCCTTCACTTTTTTCATCACTCGTGTTTATCGGTGTGCATCGTACATTGATCACGGAATCTCCGGCATTTTTCATTCGTTCAATAACGGCACACATAATGAGCATATTTATTAGCCTCGCGACTCTGTTATGAGCCAACAATTATAAATACAAATGAATAAAATATTTAAACTCACGAGTATACACGAGAAAAAAACACGATAAAGCGTAAAAACACTATTACACTTATTAATTATATCTATTCCTCTTTTATTTCTATTCTTTTTGTCAGAAACTAAGTCGAAACGTTATTAAACATATTGATAACCCGTCATTGTTTGGTGTGAGTTAAATTGTCAATGTAATGTCACAATTAGTCGTGATTATCCCTCCTTTTGTACTCTGGCAATTAATAAAAAAATTTTGTAAGCAATTGAATTTAATCACTTCTTTCCAACATATCCTTTTTATAAAAAAAAATTATGGGAGTTGGTGGGTGGAAAACTCGTTTATAAAATTAAAATGAAACTTCACAACAACATTAAAGTACTGATCCAAATTTTTATGATAAAATGTACCTCATCAATATTATTACATAAAGAACAGTGGTAACAACACAAAAAAATACTGAGAATTTCAAGGCATTTTTATGAAATAAATACAATGAAACAGTGAACGACGAATATTAATGGCCCAGTAATGTTCCCCCTGAATTTCCGGTTGTAACTACAAATCATATTGAATCCAGAAAGCAGCACAAATGATTGAATCATTATGAAAAATTGTAGCGTCCTGCGCATTACGGAAATTCTCGGAAATTACGAGATTTAATGCTAACGAAAAGAGAAATACAAAAAAATATTCATGGGAACAATTGCTCAATCTTTTAATTAGATCACTGGAATTTCCTAATTATTCCCATAATTTTCCCATCGACCAGCTTGCTTAAATCTTCCTCCCAAAACGAATATTGAAACGACAAAAAAAATTGAAAAAATAAAAAAATACAAAAAAAAATCACCTCGACGTTTAAACAACAAGACTGCTCTTGAGCTTCCCAATAATCTCGTTGACGTCGTTCCCTCCCCTGCAGAGGCTCGTGAAGACCTGTCTCTGATTCGCCTCCTTCTCAAACCTCCCAGCGATCTCCCTGGCCCTCCTGGTGATGCTCGCAGGGATCCCCGCCAGCCTAGCAGCATTGAACCCATGAGACTTGGGACAGGCCCCCTGCACCAGCTTATAAAGAAACGTCACCGTCTCCTCCGAGATTCCCTCCTCCTCCTCAGTCTCCACCTCACAAGCCATGTGCCCCAACGAGACATTCTCATTCTTCTCAAAGTCCTCCACGAGTGAGTGATAATGAGTGGAGAAGAGTGTCCTGCACTTGAGCTTTGTCAGGGCATCGACGACAGCAGCAGCAATGGCAGTTCCATCGTAGGTAGAGGTCCCCCTGCCCAGTTCATCCAGCAGGACCAGTGACTTCTTGGTGGCATGTTGAAGAATCATCGCTGTTTCACTCAGCTCAACCAGAAAAGTGCTCCTACCAGTCAAGATATCATCACTGGCTCCCAGTCTCGTGAAAATCCTGTCGACAAGAGTGAGTTTGCACTCTGCAGCAGGCACGTAGCTCCCGATCTGCGCCATCACCGTTATCAGCCCCACCTGTCTCATCAGAGTGGACTTTCCCCCCATGTTGGGACCAGTGAGAATCAGCAGACTTGCATTTCCCTCGGCTGAAATACTAGTGTCATTCGGCACGAAATTGTCTGATGAAATGCAGGGATGCTTTCCCTCCTTGATTACCGTGAACACCTCATCATCATCATTTATCTGTGGAACACAGGTCTCCCCACTCCTGGCATATTCAGCGAAAGAAATCAAGACGTCCAGCGTCGCAATCTTGAAGACTGCTGAGCTCCAGAGATCGTACTTCTCACTGAACTTGGCGAAGATCCTCCTGCTGAGGTCCTTCAGAATCTTATCCCTCTGCTCCTCTGCCTTCATCTGCCTCGCCAGGAACTCCCTGCACTCAGCAGTGTAGTACTTCTTGAAGCCCTTCCTCTGACCCTGGAGCTCGTGAGAGGAGCCTGCGTGCTTGGCCCTGGCCTCAGGCACCTCCAGTTGGAATCTTTTCTTATCATTCCCTGCGAAGGTCACTTTCCCACCGAAGTACTTCTCCTGCTGTTTAAGGTAAGAATTACTCTCGTGTTTTATCGCCCTGAACTCCTCGATGATCTCATCGTACTCAGCATCAACCCCTTCCTTGGGAACGATATTCCCCTCTTTCTTAGCTTTCTCGTGATCGAAAGCTGTTTTGAAGTACTCGAGGGTCTCCTCGAGATCCGGAAACTCCCCCTCGGGATCCCTCTGCAGAGTTCGCTTTATCAAAGGACTCTGGAAATCCTCGAACCTCGAGGCGATCTTAACGGCGTTCTCAAAGCCCTCGAGAGCTGTCGTAAAGTCTGAAATCTTTTTCTTCGAGTACGTCTGGGACTCGAACATGAAAGCCCTCCCATCAGGATGATTCTTCATCTTCTGGGCACTGCCATGAGTGTAAATTTTACTCAGAAGTCTCTCCAGGTCTGGAAGATGACTCATGGACTTTCTGGTTTCCTGGATGACGTCGGGGTTGTCCATGAGCTCTGTGATGGCCTCCTGACGACTGACGATGATGTTTTTCCGGCAGGAGGGACGACAAATCCACTCCTTCAATAATCTTTTGCCAAAGGCTGTGCAGCAGTGGTCCAGGGTCTTCAACAGGGAACCATCCTCCCCCAAAATCCTCAGATTATTGATTGTGATGGCGTCCAGGACCATCGTGCTGACAGCTGGTGCCCCCTCCTCCATTTTCCTCGACGAGAAGACAACGTCCGGGGGAATGTACTCCTGGAAGTGCTTCTGCCCCAGAATCTGCTGATCCAGCATGAAATCCTTGAGGATGTAGACACATCCCCCCAGGGCATTGACAGCCAGCTCTTTATCGTCGTCTGGAGTGAGCCCCAGGGAGTCCCCAGGGTTCAGGAAGGCTTTCAGACCCTCAGGCCACTGGAAATCAGATCCTGATTCGCTCTTGAAGTAGTCACCCTCGTGCAGGAACTTCAGGGTCTTCGAGGCAGACCAGAACTGCACGTCTTTCTGGAGGGGTTCCTTCAGGGCTGACGACAACAGTGTGTTGATGATCTTCAGGGTCTCCTGGGAGAGCTTCCCCTTCTCGTAGACCACGTGCACTGGCAGGTAGTGCGAGAGGAGGGTCAGAAGACGTGAGTGGGAACGATCGTCCTCGAACTCCCCCAGGTGGAACTCTCCGATGCTCGTGTCGATGAAGCAGACACCGAACTTGGGGATTTTTGTTTTTGCATCTGTTTTCTCCACGAGGGACAGCAAGTAGTTGCTCTCAGGGGTGATTATCTCCGGGTCCTGGACTGAAGAGACTCGAGTTCCTCGTGTTGATATCTGGCAGATCTCTCTTTTCACAACTTTATCGAATTTCGTGGACTTGGCTGTCCTCTTCACTCGCTCCTGCATCATCTCGGGGTTCTCCGTTTGCTCGATTCTGGCCACTTTGTAGCCCTTCTCCACGAGAATTCCGGAGAAACGACCGTAGGCGATTTCGGGGAAGCCTGAGTGCGCCCATTCGCCCCTCATGTAGGCGATGCCCAGCTCGTTTGAACCGGTCACTGCGTCCATGTGGTAGAGCTCGTAGAACTTACCGACTTTGAAGAAGAGAATGCAGTCGAAGTGCTGGGATTTCAGGACCCACCACTGGCGCATCGCTGGGGTCTGCTTGTTCAGGAAGTCCTCGGGGACGTGGAGGGTTCGGGGGTCGTAGTTCTCGTCGGTGGGGCGACGACGGTTCTTGTCTCGACGGTTCTCAGGCTGCAGGAAGTCGAGTTTTAGGTGCGGCCAGGAGTCACCACCTGTTGTGGGCCCTGTCACTGACGGCGTCTTTTGCAGCTGGAAGGACTCCTCCTGAGAATTTATTTATTCATTTATCTATTTATTTATTTATCTAAATGAATTTATTGAAACGTTTTGAATCCCCTCATGAAAATGTCTCTTCAATAAATGGGACTATCGAAATAACATCAAATGACGTGAGTCTAATCAACACTGAACAGAAGAAAATTCATATTTTACTGTTGCAGTTTTGATTTTTACCTTTAAGGTGACCTTTGCTGGAGGCTGCTTCGACCTCCAATTTTTCCCATTTGATTTTCCTCTTGATAATTTCTGTTTTTTCTGCGATAAACACCACAAATAAATTTTAATATCACCTATGGTTTTTTCGTTATATTTTTCCGTGAATGAAAGGGGGAAATACCTTGGGGGTTTCCTCATCAGTTTCTGTTTCTGTGGCAAATGAACTCTCCGTTGCCCCTTCTGTGTTGTCCTCTGATTCAGAAGCTTCCTCAGACTCTTCTGAAAAAAAAAAATAATATTAGTAGAATATAAATAAATTTTTGAGGAATGAGAGACAATTATTTCATAATAGATTGTAAAGAATTCTTGAATGCTCACAAAATGAAGCTTAAAATGAATAATGAATGCCAAAAGCTCATTTAATTTCAAATGAAATGAAACAATTGGTTTTCTTTATCCACCTCCCCTACTCAAGAAAATGAAAATTCCAGGAATATTGAAAGCTTAAAAAACTCGTGAAAAAAATACTCACCAGGCACGTAGTCATCACTGTCGTCCCCTCCGTCCTCAGAGTCCTCCTCAGGGATGATGATCCTCCTGCGTTTGGGTTTAGCTGCAATCTCATCCTCCTCATCCTCCTTCTTCACCTCTTCCTCCTCATCGAGCTCAGGTGTTCTAGCCTTCAAAGGCCTCTTCTTAGCCGTAGCCTTTACCTCATCCTTATTCTCCTTTCCTTTCCCCTTACCTGAACCCATTCGCAAAATAATTGCATCAAAAACCGAAGAAAGTATCTTCAATGCAATTAATTCTTCGAATCATAATAACACGAAACCCGAAAAAATCGCAGAAATCCAGAAAAAAAATTGTGTGGTAATATTTTTGGGGCGAGGAATAGGCGAGGGGTTTCTCCCTTTGTCTGGGAGAGCGTCGGTTGTCTAGACAAAGTAATGACAGCTCTCGGGGCCCAGGAAATTCCCAAAAATCACTCTCACTCCCGCCCGTATCGTCCATCCCCATAAAAACAATTGTCGATACGTTCGGAGGAATTGGAAAAATAATGAAGAAAAATAAATGACAATAAGCGACTAACCTCGGCCCTTGAGGGCGCGTACTGGAGTCGTTGGCTCGGATTTCTCCTTGGGTGTTGACCTTTCAGCTTGTGGTGTTACACTTTTTGGAGACTTAAAGTAGTTCAATAGAGTATTCACTTGTTTAACATCTTTTTTCGGCATTTTTATCGAATTATTCAGGCGTCGAGGGAAATTGTGCGATGTCTCGACGCGGGTGAGCCGGTGTGTGGCGCCAAAACACGAAAGAATGTGCGCGGTGGGGTTGAGAGAAGACCGGGGAGGGGACGGATACTCAGGCGACGCCACGGTCCCCCGGGATTTAAATTCAAACAGAAAATTTAAAAAAATACTCAAAAGAATATTTTTAAAAATTGTCAGAGGAGTGGAAAAAAAATACAAAGAATTCTGCTAATTCCGAATAATTGATTCAAAATTGACCGAAAGAAAATTATAATTAAAAAAAATTATTCTAATTTTGAGGCATTTTCTATACTTATAAAACATAATTTGTTAAAGGGAAACGGAAAGGAATTTAAGGAATTTTTGACAGAACAATTAATTCTGAAATTTTGACTTTCACATTGGTATTTTCCAATTTAAAAATAGTCTTGCCTCTGAATTCTTAATGATGCGCATTTGAAAACAATTTGAGATTTTAAAAAATACTGTCTCAATGGTGAGATAATTATTATTTTTTTCACGAAATTCGTCCCAAGAAACTTGTGACTGGCCAGCGCCCGAGAGCCCTCAGCCCGGTGTTTTCATATGATACGCAATGTTCTGATTACAGAACACAGAAAATAAAAGGAAAAAAAAACAAAAGAATAGATAAATAAATATTTGGATAGCTGATAGTATTGAATGGTTGTGTAGAAAAGATAAGTAGTTTTACATTATCGTAAATGAGATGAGTGTGAAACAGTTTGAGGATAATGATTATAAAAAATACCGGCACGGAATTCATCAACTTGAAAATTATTCAGCTGCAATATTTATCAAGATAAAAAATTAAAATTAAATTACGTCGCCAAGAAGACGAGTATTTTCGCACGTAAATACGACGATGAATAATTTCAACTACTCGCATAAAGGTCGAAGCCGCACTTTCAGTGGCGTCCCCCGTAAATAATGGAAAGGAATAATATCCGGCATCTGTCATTTATTACCTGGCCAATTGTTTATGACATTCGTTTTTCAAAATTGTGAGTGCTGACGCTCGGAAAATCCCGATATCGCATTCCTCCATTCATGCAGAACCCGAGGACAGCAACAGGGAGTCTGCAGAAAAAATCGGCAGGTGTGCGAAAATACCTGGGGGCGGGTCACCTCAGATTAGGTCAAACTCGGATTTCTAAGCCCAGGCGACAGTGAACTAACACTGCGCCGGGATGAGCCGCTCTATTCACCCGAGTTTCCCTTGAATGACCTGGGAAACCTTTGTTACGTTCGAAAATTTTAAGCGTTTGATATTTGTTCTCAATGCAAAAACCTTGGAAAACAAAACATTTTCATCAGTGCATGAAACAAACTGATTAATTATGAATATTAGGGAATAGTGGGGTAAAATGAAACAGCGGTCCAGAAAGTTGAAAAGTCGAAAAAGGATTGTTTGACGCAATTCAAGTAAAAAAAATGGTTTTCAACTATTTTTTTTACTAACTCTTTTTATTATGAAGAGTATTGAGAGTATTGATGAGAATAATAATTTTCCATTCAGCAGAATAGAAAATTATTCCGAAGTTTTGACGGGAGAAGATTTTGTCAATGGATTAATTGAAAAGAAAAGGGGGAAAAATAAAAATGCGATTTCTGAACGTCAATCGAATGAAAGAAGAAAAGTGTAATCGTCCTATCTAATCAATTGAATTATACATGAAATATTTCATACTCCTCGAAAGAAAAACTGTGGATAAAATTACTGAAAATTGCTAATATTGTCGTCTCGATATAAAAAATAAATAAAAAACCATCGGGAGTTGTGACTGAGGAGAGAGAACATAGACTCAGAGATGACGCGGTCTTAGTTTGGCTACTGAAGAGTCAGGGGAAAAGCTGAGTAGTGGACGACAGGGGAGTGCGATCCGTCTGTGGAGGCAGTCGCTACGCTGTTCGGGGTTTCCAACATTTGTAATTTTTCCCCACCGCATGTTCCTTTCTACCGAATGAAAAATTATTCTCATGAGTACTCCCAGTAATAAAAAAATTTAATAGCCAAAGTCGCTAAAAAATGTTTTTTTACTTGAATTGCGTTAAACAGTCGATTTTGGGTGTTTCATTTTGCCCCTCAAATAAATAAATAAATGATTTTAATCGATAAATTATTTTCCGTTGAAATTAAAATAGCAGTGAGCTATAAATTCTAGATTCGCAACGAATTAATTCTCCGAATGAATTTCACTCGAAAAATTCAATATTCATCGGTAAGACAAGAAAGTAAACTCAGAATATTAGGGAAATATAGACAGAGAGGCGATTGTACACAAAACAAAAGCCGAAGAGAAAAACTTTCCATTGAAAATCGTTGGCCGAAGAATTTGACACAGTCGCCGATGCGTTCGTCAGGGTAATCCGGCAAAACTCCGGACTCCGAGGGACCCTTTTTATGGCACTTGCTGGTCTCAACTTCCTCAAGGCCATTCAATTACTTTCCTCGGTACCTGGCTAGGTACCTCAATTCCGAGAATCCCTCGGCGCACCGTACCCTCGTCGACTTGGTTCAATCACCAAGGGTCATCCCCACTTGGGCCTGACCAATCGAACGTTTCGGGCCTTCCTCTCCCCCAGCAACTCCAACCCCTACTGCGCACTCGGAGGGATATATTTATACCTCCCGATCCTCCGACGTTGTCAGTTGCAATCGGACACTCTTGAGGGTAACATTTTACTGAGGACGCTATCCGGATTGTCTCAGTCGAAATCCACATTTCATCAGCCAAACGACGAATATTTCTGCCGCTGGGATAGCATCGCAGTTTACGGGCAGTTGTATTCGTCGATCAGCGAAATTTCACTTGAGGTATGAATTTTTATTTGCGTTTGAATACCCTGAGAATAATTTCGCCGTTGAGATTTCGAATCTTGGGGACTAGAACGCGTTAACGATGCTTGTTGACTACATTTTATATGTATAATTATCGAAATCAACATTTCATTATCAAAGCGACAAATATTTCTGCTGTTGGGATAGAATTGGAGTTTACGGACAGTTGTATTCGTCGATCGACGTAATTTCACTTGAGTTATGAGTTTTATTTACGTTTGAATACTCTGAGAATACTTTCGCCGTTGAGATTTTCAATCTTTGAGACTAGGACTAGGATATCAATAATTTTTCCATTATTGATGGATTTCTTAAATAACGATACAAAAAATAATTCATAGATAATATTTCGTTAAGAAACACTAAATTCTCATCGATGTTTTATGAATTTTATATTCCTGATTCCATCACGTGTTGAAAATAAGAGATATCCATCCGTTTTCTGAAGAAGAAAATTGTCCTTCTATCATACGATTAGCCAAGCGAATAAAATTGAAGCAGTAAATTTAATAATTTCATTTTATCCTTGATATCTCCAGAATATTTCCCGAAAACTCAACGAAGCCATCATGATAAGTAACAACGAAAAAATCTACGCTCGTGGATTCAATCGTTACCACTACGCTGATTATCACCACCGAACCCCACCCGTACATTACGATCACATGGCGCCAGGAAGTGGCCATTCTTACTACGAGGTAACTAATTCTTTCATTGCGTCGAGATTTTTCTTTGCCATTTTGTGACGAAAGAAGATTTATTGAATGTTTATCATAAAAAAAATGCAGACCCTCCAATATTTTGTTTTAATTTTCTTAATGAGTGAAATTGATAAAGTATAATGTCTTGTCATTCTCTCAGTGATTACATTGAGAAAAAAATTTTACTTGAGTTGGTTTTGAAAGCTGCTTTTTTCTCATTATAAGAATTTTTGCTCTGAAAAATTTTCGAGCCCTGAGTTTCCTGATAAAAGTAGTATTTATAAAAGCTGTATTTATAAAAAAAAAATTTCTCTGTGCAAAAATTTGCGGAAAAAGACTCGAGTTACCGCGTGTAATTGATTTGTTCTAAAAACTGTGATTTTCCGTCCAGTCTCCTAGAAACTCACAATGGGACAACAGCTACTTCAGCTACATGAGTAGCAGCCCCCCGAGGAAAGCGTCTCCACCAGTCAGCCGCAATGTCCACTGGCAGAATCAACTGTCCCACGGAAGTGTTGATTCTCTAATAACCTCCATCTACCACTCCATCGATCACTTAGACATCCAGACAGAGGCAGACCTCCAAAAAATGCTGTGCAAGATCGAGGCAATGCTGGAGAGAGAATTGGGCCCGCTTGATTATTTCAGGCCTCGAGGACGTGCCACTCCCCCAGGTATGTTCGACGAGTCGCACCTCCAGCTCCATCGACTCCTCTCACCCCCAAGGGGAAGGCCAATACCGGGGAGTCTCTTCGCTGTTGTTGTCCAGAAGTTCAGGGATCAGTTCTCATCAATCCCTCAACCTTTGCACCAATCCATCATCGAGTTTGGTAATAATGGAGAGCGCGAGGACAACTTGTGTCGCCCTTGGGGCATCACTTGCGATAGAGACGGATACGTGATCGTCGCTGACAGATCCAACAACAGAATCCAGATCTACCGTGAGGATGGCACATTCGTCAGGAGATTTGGCAGTCTCGGCACTGGGCCTGGACAGTTCGATCGACCCGCTGGTGTAGCTGTCGACGAGAGGAGGAGGATCATCGTGGCTGACAAGGACAACCACAGGATCCAGGTGTTCACGATGGACGGACACTTCATATTGGCTTTTGGTGAGAAGGGCTCGCGCCTCGGCCAGTTCAACTACCCCTGGGACGTTGCCACCAACAGTGCATGCCAGATTGCTGTGTCAGACACACGCAATCATCGAGTCCAACTGTTCAGTCCAGAGGGCATTTTCCTTCGCAAATATGGATATGAGGGAGCAGGCAATATGCTGAAGCATTTTGATTCACCACGAGGTGTTGCATTCAATCCTGATGGCGACCTGGTTGTGACTGACTTCAACAATCATCGGCTTGTAATCATCAAACCTGACTTCGTCACCGCCAAGGTACTGGAGTGTGACAAGAAGGATACACATAGATCATTCTTGAGGCCCCAAGGGCTTGTTGTGGATGACAAGGGGAACATCATTGTTGGTGATTCGAAAAAGTACAGGATCCAGGTTCTAGATGCTGCTGGCAATCTCCAGTGGACATTCGGGACCTTTGGCACAGGCCCTGGGGAGATGGACAGACCGTCGGGGGTTGCGCTTACCACCAGTGGCAGAATTGCCGTTGTGGATTTTGGAAATAACCGGGTTTTGATCATCTAAAATTTGGCGTTTCGAGGCTTTCGAGTGTTTGACGATCGAGAAGAGTAGTATTTTTTTTTTGAATCGCTCAAAGAGGTTTTGAGATTGGATATGTACCCTTTATTTTATGTAGTATCGTAATCGTATCGGTTTATGACATCGTAATAATTTTGTATTTGGTTGTGATGAGGACTTGCAATAATCTTATTCAGCAGTGAAGCTGGCAAACGGTTCAAATAGAATGTCTCCAAATCTAAGGGGGGTGGCAAAATTTTCGTCATGACGAAAACTGGCCAATAGTCAAAATTGATTTGACTCGGTTTACCGCTTCGCTGCTGCATTTGTTATATGATAAATGCGCCAGGGAGAAATAACTATCAGTTGTAGACTGAGCATAGATTAAGTGGAACATTAAATGTTGTTCTTCGCTCCAAGCAAAAGTTTAGTTACCAGTCAATTTTCAAAAATTGATTGGTTGAATCGTTCAAAAATTTCTTGAGATTTGGTATGCTCCCTGTATTTTATGAAGCATGACAATCGTATTTTTTATATGAAAAAAACAGTGAGAAAGAACTGTCAATTGTAGACTAATCGTAGATTAAGTGAAACATTAAATAATGTTCTTCGCTCCAAGCAAAACTAAAATATGAATTTCTATGGGGAAATTGATTGATTGAATCGTTCAAAGATGCTTTGAGATTTGGTATGTTCCCTGTATTTTATGAAGCATGACATTCTAATAATTCTGTATTTGGTTGCGATCAGAGCTTGCAACAATCTTATTTCTTTTTCTTACATGAAAAATACAAGAGGGAGAAAGAACTCAGATGTGGACTGAGCACAGCTTATGTGGACCATTAAATAACGTTCTTCCCTCTAAGAAAAATGAAAATATGAATGTTCATGGAAAAATGATTGATTCTCTACGAATTTGTATACCGAATATTGAATAAAATAACTTTAATAAAAAAAAACATGACGCCATTTATATCCCCTATTTATAGACGAAAATCACCTTCGTGGGAATTCCAATATATTTTATCAAAAATCTGGAAATACTTGTATTCAATAAGACAAAAGCCGAGGGTCTCGATTGGGACCAGTGATGATAAATGCATTGGATATCCGATACTATCCGTCGGGGGACAATCAAAAGAGCGTCTGGGAATTGGACCGCAATCGATCAAATTCAACGACTTATCCAGTCATATCCGGATCTCCAATAAAAATATCAATTCGTCGTCAACTATGAAATAGTTAATACCTCGATTTATTAACAGTTTAATAAAAAAAGACTTACAAAAATGCGGGAACTACTGTTTTTTTTAGATTTATCGTGTATCTTTGTGCTTGAGAATCCAGAAGTGCTGCTTCACATCTGCCAGTGGGATTCTATCATAGGCTTTCTTCTGGACCAACTGAAGCGAATTAAAGAATAAAAAATCACAACCAATTTCGGGAAAGTCACATGGAATGAGGAGAATCGGCCAATCAATCAATTTCCTCACCTTTGAAATGAGATCCTTGGCCCCTGATGAAATGTGACGTGACCAGGGAATCTGGAGAGACTTGATTTTGGCGAAGGTTTCATCCTTAGAGGCACTGAGGAATGGTGGCTCTCCCACCAAGAACTCGTAGCACAAAATCCCCAGGCACCAATGGTCGACGAAAATACCGTAGGCTTTTCCCTGGATCATTTCTGGTGGGAGATAGTCTACTGTTCCACACATCGTGTGTCGCCTTTTGGTGTGACATGTGTAAAGAATTTCATTCAACGATATAAATGGAAATTGAATGTTTATTTGACGAAGAAAAAAATATTGAGTGGTTCAAATACAAATTATTCGGTACAACTGAAGACTTACATCAATGATGGAGTATGCACAGACCATCCAAAGTCTGCAAGTTTGACGTTTCCATTCCAATCGAGCAGTAAATTCTCAGGTTTTATGTCCCTGTGAATGACATCATGCTTGTGGCAAAAGTCAAGAGCATCAGCAACTTGGTACGTGTATTTAGCAGCACTGAAAAGAAATCAATCAGAGGTTCAATGTCTTCTCCAAAGTGTTCATTCAGCCTGACTCACTCGTACTCACAAGTGATTATTGAATCTCCCCCCAGGCTGTGTCTTCAGTTCTCTGTAAAGCTCCCCCTTGGCAGCGTACTCAAGAACCAGGAAAATATGCCTCTCATCATGAAAATACGTGAACAGTCGTAGAATGTTGGGGTGGACCAGGCGCGACTGGATTTCAATCTCACGTAGGACTTGCTTCTCGTTACGAGCCTGTCTCAACTGCTTCTTGCTCATAGTTTTCAGGGCTACCATGTAGTGAGTCTTCTTCTCTCTTGCGAGATAAACTCGGCCAAACTGACCATTGCCCAGGGGACTACCGAATTCGAAGTCATTCAAAGTCCATTGATGACTGGGGAATGTTGAATTTATGTAGTGGATGCAGCAAAATGGATACTTCATTCTTCTCTCAATCTTCGTAACTCAGAGACAAAAGGAACAGTTCTACTCAAAAAAACTGTCCCATTTCGTTGATAATTCAATGAGTTATTAAGATTGAAAAAGATTCAATGAGTTATTGAGATTGAAGTCTCCTCTCACCTGCCAGCAGGACCATCAATGTGCTTCTTCATCTCAGCAACGCACTTGGCAACCCCATTGTAATGCTTTGCAGGTACATTTCTAAGACCTCTTGTCCCCATTTCTGTGAGATTAATCTCCACTCGCGATATCAAATGCCAATAAGTCAAAATTCGTGTTACTAATTCCGCGAATCTGCAGAAGTATTCTCGTATTATCTCTCCCCAATCGATAAAAAATTCTAATCACAACGGAATTCGATGTTCTCGTGGAATGAAAACAATGGGATGAATACAGTCATCCGACACGATTGTGGCTCCCCTCCAGACCTAATCGATTTATTTCTCGCGAACTTATCGAATCGACAGCATCAGAAGTCGTTCGTCGAACCGTTCGCATCTGATTTTCCCAGTAAATTCGCAAAGAGAAATACATCAGACTGAAGGACTGAATATTAGCGAAGAATTTCGACAAAATTTCACGTTCAATCCGCGAATTATCGCGATAATTAAAGATTTCGACTGCTGTCATTGGGAATATCGAACAACGACAGCCTCTCGACGAACGCTTTTCCCGGAATTGAAGCAGTAAACAATCCTCTTTGTTCTGGCAGTGGCTCCCTCTGCAACTCTCCAATCGATCGTTCTGTGAACTGCATCAAACGAGTTGCGAATTTAATGATTTTTCCTTTTAAATTCACGAAGACGAGTGATTAAAAGCTGAAGCACAGTATTTAACACACGATCAAACCAGAATACTCGGGAAAACAATCAGCTGAGTCAGCACTTTCTCAACAAATTATCTCCAAAATCACCTCGCTGCCCTCGAAGTGATTCTCAACCCCCCCGAAAATGGAGAAAAAGGTCCAATCGTGCTTCATCCCAGACTGCCAGAACACCTCATCCCAGGAGCTCCTCTACCCGTTCCTGATCGACACAAACGACATAAACTCCCGGATCATGGGTGTGGGGTCTCCAGAGCTAGTGCAGAACGTCCCAGAGGACCGCAAGAGGATCTGCGAGCAGTACTTCCTCTGCACTGATCACATAAACTTCCTGGATTCCACCCAAGCCACGGAGAAAATCGAGAAAGCAGACGAAGAATCAGCAGAAGACGATGCCAAGAAATCTGAAGAAGAATCACCTGATCAACTCTCCCAGCAGCTGAGCAGTCTCACGGTCTCACAGCCTCGAGAGGACCCCGACGATGTCGACGTTGCAGGGATGATCGAGGCTCCAGAGACTGAAAAATCAGAAGACTACATCGAGCTGGAGAACATCTCCCAGGACTTGAATTCGATATTTGAAGTGATCCCTGAGGACTTCACGAACGTCTGCAGACTCTGCGGAAGGTGCACTGATGACCCTCTCCCGATATTCTCAGGGGGTAACGAGGGGGATGAGCTCAGTCTCGTCGAGAAAATTCGGTATTATCTTCCCATCAAAGTCGATGTCAACGATAGCCTTCCTAAGGTGATCTGTAGAGAGTGCAGTCAACATCTGGACAAGTCCCACGACCTGGCGATCACTTCTCTGGCCACAGAAGCTCTTCTGACAGGTTCAGTTTCGAAGGAAGAACTGATGGGGAAAAATGCTGCAGGGAAAGATGGGGAGAAAGTTCCGGTTGGTTCTGATGAGCTGGTTACATCTATTCATGCAGAGAACAGGAATGAGGGGAACTACTCTCAGAAGAATGTCAGTGATGCAGTTCATCTCGATTGCTCGCAGTCGTTGATCACCAGTGATGAGGATGAGGCGCCTTTCACGACGTTCGAGGGATTGAAGGTTCTGAGGACTTATGGGAAGAAGAGGCCACTGCCTCAGGGTGCCGGCGGCTATGCTGTTAAGAAGAAGAGGGAGGAAGCAATCTTCGAGACGTGGTGAGTTTGATGATTCAATTATTCGTGATATTTCAGCATCCCAGAAGGTCTTTAAATGTTTTTTTCATGAAAATTATTGGACAAATATTATTTTTCAAGCCTTCAACTATCCAATCCATTTTACATTCTCTCCAGTATGTTTATCTCTATATTATAAAAATCCAAATCGATTTCTGGTGATAAAAATTTGGTACTCGAAATTAAGGCTCCAAGGGATTTTGGGACACTTCGGATTGAAATGCATTTTCAATTGATATCAGGTACAAATGTAACATGTGCGTGGCCTCCTGCACAGACCTGCAGGTCATAAAATTCCACAAACACCGGCACAGGCTGAGAAGACCTGTTCTCTTCTGGTGCAGCTTCTGCGCCACTGAGTTTCCCAAGGAGTCCACCTTCACCAATCACGTCCTGGCGGTTCATAAAAAGGAGCCGTGGGCTCTGAGTCACGCCTACAAGTGCATCACCTGCCACAGAGTCTTCTCCCTCAAGACGACTGCACAGACTCACTACGACGCCAAATGTGCAATTGATCTAGGTGAGGAGAATGGCACCAAGATTTGCGCTGAGCCCGTCTACCTCAGGTACGCCTACACCTGCGAATTCTGCTGGCAAGGGTACGCCTATGTGTCCAGTCTGAATACACACAGGAATCAGGAGCACCCAGAGGAGAATCCCAGGGTCAAGGGGATTGAGATTAGCGAGACGAAGAGGAGGGACAGGATCATGGAGTTGTGTGGAATCAAGCGTGCCTTCGCCTGCAAATTTTGCTCCAAAATATTCACTTCGCTGGAGAACTTCGTGCAGCATCGGGAGGAGCATTTGGATGGACTGTTCAGGTGCTCCATCTGCAAGGGAAGTTTCTGGAATTATGAGGACTTCAAGCAGCATCGGGGGACTCAGCACGACTACAAGATTATTCTGAGGGAAGTCAGTGGAGAGCAGCTGGACGAGAATGGGCAGACTACTTCGAGTTCAGAGAGTGAGAGCGTGGAGTAGTCTCGGGAGTCGATGAATTTCTGCTCAACTTCTTGACGATTTTTAATGGTTTCGAGTGAACATTGAGGCGATTTGGGCTTTATACGAGAGGGGAATCATCATAATTCCATTTAATTTAATGTTCTTAGGTTTCATATGAAAATAAAGTTTAATTACTATTTTTGAAACTTCCAATTTTATTTTTTCATTTTTTTCATTAGTTGTAGGAAAGTTGCAGCGGAAGAATATTTGTGGGCGGTGTGAGAACTCTTACACCGCCTTAAATAAGTAATTAAAATAAAAAAAATTATAAAGAATTAACCATTTTTTTTGCATTTTGGAAGATGTAATATGGTGATTTGATAGGTGTATAGAGGACAAATAAGACGATTTCACTGAAAATTAAGTGAGCCATCGAAATTTTAAAAGAGGCGAAAATGTCTGTTTTGCCCCACTAACCCGCCTCAAAGAGGAAATCCCCGCCATCTTCCGGCGAGCGTCAGAATGTTGTATCAATGGAGGTGTAGAGCCTCCCTCGGTAGCTGTCAAAGTCACCGAAAATATTTACTCAATCATGACCAATCAATCAAACGTGCAGAACTACGACATCCTCATCCAGGAGATCGAGGGAATCGACGATTACCTGGGCCCCACATTCAGGTAAATTTTCATCAATTTTTTTCCTCCAATGAAAGGGTTATTTCAACCCTGAAAGCCCGCGGTTCGAATGCCACCCCGTACGCAGATGCCTGCAGATGCGCAGACGAGGGGGTTGAAATGATCATGAGGGGTGACATAGAGCCGGGGAGTTTCGTCCCCGAAGGGAAAACAGTAGTTGAAAATTTTTTCTTAACCTGACGTGCCCCCATGCTTACCCTTGAGATGTCCGCGGAGATTCAGAATGCCCTGGCGGCGGGTCCAAAGCATGAGCACCTGCTGGTGGAGATCGAGTCCACTGATACCAGCAGTGTAGGAATGGTCATCAGGTATAAATCGAGGGCTGGGGGTTATTCAGAGATGGGAAAGGAGTGAATGTCCTGATGGCTTTCCCGCGATGTTGGGGGTGTTTTCGAGCCTTTGGGATCATTATTCTATGTTTCAGGGCTATTTATGATGGCCATGAGCATCAGAAGTTCATGGAGAAGCTGGACGAGAGGGTCAAGAGCCATGACAAGGATATCGAAAGAATGTGCAATCACCATTATCAGGGATTTATCGACTCTATCAGGGAGCTACTGCAAGTTCGCTCGCAAGCACAACAACTCAATGTCAGTGGCATTTTTTTTAATATTCGTAATTCAGTATTAAATTAATTAATTGCGTCTGGGCTCATTGCAAAGAGAGATAAGTACACTCTCCAAGCAAAACAAATTGAGATTCCATTTCGTTAACAACTGAAGAAGCTTTTAACAATGGAAATTTCAACGAATTGTCTTCCTCTTCCAGAATGAAATACTCGACTTGGACAATACAATAAGTGCCTCGACGTCAAAAGTAATCGAAAAGGGCGAGGAGCTCGTGAAAGCACGAAAAGTCGAGAGCAACATAGCAGCAGCGATCGACAGTCTCACAATGTGTCTACCAGTATTAGCAGCCTACGCCAAGCTCCAGAGACAGTTGAAAGACAAGCGTTACTACCCAGCCCTGAAGACCCTCGAGCAACTGGAGCACTGCGATCTACCCAAAGTCACCAACTACAGGTTCTCCTCCCAAATAACCGAGCAAATTCCACTGCTGAGGGAGAACATCAAGGACGCCTCGATGTCGGACCTCAGGGACTTCCTCGAGAACATTAGGAAGTACTCCCCGAAGATTGGGGAGGTGGCGATGAGGCACAGTGCCGAGCAACTCGTCAGTGAGGCCGAGATCATTGGCAGGAAGAAGAAATTCCAGGTCAGGAGTTCGTCGGTTAATGAGGGAGAGGAGGAGCTCAGTGCTCAGGATCTCATGGACTTCAGTCCTGTTTATCGTTGTATGCATATTTATACTGTTTTGAGGGAGGGCGATGAGTTCAAGGCTTATTACCAACAGCAGAGGAGACAGCAGGCGAGATTGGTTCTTCAGCCTCCTGTTAATATGGTGAGAATTATTATTTTTATTTCAATTAATTTTTTAATTCATGGATTCCGAGTTTTTTTTATGAACTAGATTTTTTTGAGAGGAGTCCTCTTGGCTCTTTTCTTCTTTTCTATTCTGAAATCAATTATTGTTGCAAATATTATAAAAAAGAAAAAGAAGAAATGGCAATTTTCATTTTTAGCACGAAAGCATCGTTGGTTATCAATCATACCTCCACGGAATCGTGGGCTTTTTCGTCGTTGAAGATCACATATTGAACACTGGAAATGGCCTAGCCACTCGCTCCTATCTGGAGGACCTGTGGGCGATGGCTCTCTCAAAAATCGTAAACGCCCTGAGAACACACTCTGCTTACTGCACAGACGCCAATCTCATCCTAAACATTAAAAATCTGATCATGCTGTTTAACACAACCCTCAGGAACTACGGATACCCAGTGGGACAATTGTGGGATCTCCTCCAGGAGATAAGAGTGCATTACAACGAGGTTCTCATGCAGCACTGGGTCCAGCTCTTCAGGGACATCCTGGATGAGGACAATTTTTTGCCAGTCCAGGTGGCTAATCAGGAAGAGTACAATGCTATAGTGCAATCCTTTCCTTATCACGACGCAGAGCTCGAAAAATCAGAATTCCCGAAGAAGTTTCCGTTCTCTCAGATGGTTCCCCAGGTTTACTATCAAGTCAAGGAGTTCATTTACGCCTGTCTGAAGTTCTCGGAGGATTTGAACCTCACGCAGACTGAAATCGTTGAGATGATAACAAAGTCCACGAATTTATTGCTCACGAGGACTTTCAGCGGTTGTCTCTCTTCGTTGTTCAGGAAGCCATCCCTTGCTCTCCTTCAGGTGGTCCAGATCATCATCAACACAGGATATTTAGAGGATTCAACCAAGTATCTACAGGAATTTGTGCTGAACATCACAGGGTGAGCAAAATAAAAACATTAATTCTGCATTGATTTTGGAATTTTTCTATTGATCAGAATTTTTTTATCTCATCAATTAGAAAATTTCGTGAAGGACAATTGAGCTGTGGAGGTGTGAAATCAGCCATGTTCAGGGTGGCTAGGGAGGACGCAGAGAAGCAAATCTGCGACAAGTTGGAACGTAAATTGGACGAGTTCTTGGAGCTTGAGAATTACGACTGGAATTTGGCGGAACCCCAGGGACACGCCTCGGGTTTTATAACTGATCTCATTGCCTTCCTCCAGAGCACCTTCACGTGCTTCACAAATCTACCAGCAGAGGTGGCCCAGGTCGCCTGCAAATCCGCGTGCTCCCACATTGCTCAGGCAATCCTAGACATTCTGATCAGCGAAGACTTGAAGCAAATTTCTATGGGAGCTCTGCAGCAAGTGAACCTGGATACCATTCAGTGCGAGCAGTTTGCAGCCTCTGAACCTGTGGCTGGATTACCTGAGGGCACCCTCCTCCAGTACTTCTCGAAATTGAGACAATTGTTGGATCTCTTCATGAGCTGGGACTGGCCCACTTACTTCCACGATTATGGACATGAATCCAGTAAATATAATTTAGTTACACCGAATATGGCGGTTATTCTTCTCGAGAAGTTGAAGGAGTCTGATAAGAAGACTAATGTCTTCTCGGTTCTGAAGAAGAGTGAGAGGGATAAAAAGAAATTATTGGAGACTGTGCTCAAGCAACTTCGTCAATTAGCGGTCACTACTCAGCAGTAATTGGTGTAAGGTGATGGAGCGGTAAAACGTGATGTGTCACAAAATTATGGAAAAAGTCCTTTTATGGAAAATGTCGAAATTAATCAAGTTTTACTACTTCAAAATGGAAAGGCTATTATTTATGTATATACAACGAATCTGTAGTTATTCGAATATACTGCGTTATAACAATAATGTTTGCCGAAACTGACAGGCGTTTGAATTTAATAAAATGGAATTTAATTTATTACAAAAAACCAGTTGTGTTTATTTCTCTTCCTTCAGATTTTTTTTGCAAAAAAAAAAGAAAAAAATGGGAAAGGTTTGGCAATGATTCCTCTTGGCGCTCAATATTTGTATTACAGCCGGAGAATAAAATCTAACCTTCAAAAAACAGCTGATAGCATGTGCCCACAGTGTTACCCTACATTTACCTATTATTAATTCAAAACAATAGCAATTAAAGTCAGTTTTAATCTCTAAAAATGTTGAGAACTAGAGGAAAATTGTGCCACCACGTGCACTTCATCTCAAGCAATATGAAAATGGAGCAGAAGATTCTCCAGTGCTCCATTTCATCTTTCCACTCAGACCTTCAGAGAAGAAATTCGAAGAAATTTTCCTCTCAGAGTTTGCAGTACAATAAATCATGGAGTCAGTGTAAATTCTTCGGGGGAATGAGTTCCTCTGGATTACTGAGGAATGAAAGGATCAATTTTGCCTGTCAATCTGTCAGACACTGGTCGGATTTCCCCACTTCCCTGGTGCCTCCCATCCCTCGATACGAAGGAATGACAAAAATACTAGTGGACAGTCCTCCCATAGAATTCATTCAGAATCATCTTATCATCCTGCACTCCACCCTGGGGCTGCCTTGGTGGGCTACCATCGTTCTTCTCACGTGCACAGCCAAGACTCTGATCACTCTACCTAGTGCATTGTACCAGGTAAATAAAATAAATGAATAAATTGTCCGATTATTCCATAAAAACCGATTGATGATTCCACAGTGATTTTACGGGGCTTTTAAAATAAAATAAAAGCCAAAAGTGTCTACTCTGTCAGGACATAATTTCAATTTTTAACTCTCTAGCAACACATTCTGGCAAAATCCGCGAATTTAAAGTGGGAAATGGACGAGATTGTGGACGACCTGAAGAGAGACGCCAACTACAGAGTTCAGGTGTTGGGGTACACTGAGGACGAGGCGAGAGCTTTGTACAATAAAGCAGTGGGTAATGCTTTGCACTCGAGCCCTTCTCATTCAAGAGAATGACCTTGCTCTAATATTTTCCCTCAATTTTATCAGTTCAGAGACAAGTGGCATGAGTTGATAGTCAGGGACAACTGCCACCCGATGAAGGGGTTCGTACTACTCATGACCCAGCTGCCACTCTGGATATGCCTGTCTGCTGCTGTCAGGAATCTTTGTTACGTGTTGCCCTATCCAACTCCACGTAATTATTCATTTGATTCATCAGTAGTTTTTTTTATTCATTTATTGATGACTTAATGGTCGTTCCAGTGGCCCAGAGAACCTTCATGGAATTATCTCACGAGGGAATCGCCTGGTTCTCGAATTTAGCTGCAGCAGATCCCTATTATATTCTCCCAATAACAATGGGACTGTGTAATTTAATTAATATTGAGGTGATTATTCATTGAACTTGTGAATGAAAATGTCTTTGAAAAATTAGGAAACCTTTTGCAACAACTCAATTAATTGATGGAAATTAATGAATTTCATTTTTCAGTTCAACTACATGATGAGAGTGAAAGAACCCACGGTAATCCAGAGGGTATCGTTGTACGTGTTCCGAGGAATTTCGTTGGTGCTCGTTCCCATCGCCTCGATCGTCCCCTCGGTAATGATTATTTAATCACGGGAATTCGATGAGTGCTGCCATTAGCACTGGAGTAATTAACATTTTTCGATGCACTCCTTTCAGGGAATGAGTCTCTACTGGGCGACGAGCAGTGCCTTCGGTCTTTTCCAGAACATGTTTATCGTTGCGCCGAGGGTGCGAAGATTCTTCAGAATCGAAGAGACTGAAAACGAATTACAACACCCGTACAAACACGTACTCAACAATTTTAAAGCACGAATCCCTGGAAAAATTGTTAAAATCCCAGAGATTCCGGGGAAGTCATCCGCATCAGTCAAAAAGAAATAAAGATCAATTGGAGAAGTGGTGGGAGGCGATGAGTCGAAAATAAATTGTTACCTCTATTCTCTTAGAATTGGCGAATTTGAGGATAAATGACTGATGAAATAAATAATTAATGAAAAAAATTACGAGAAAAATTCTCAACAGAATTGAGTGCATAGGAATGCCAAGGTCTATTGATTTCCTTCTGCTGATAATTTTCTATCCAAAAAATTTTTTATTTATGGAAATTCCCGGCTTATCGTTGAAACCGAATTCCCAATGACTCATGACTTCAGTCATGAACACAGCGAATGTAAAATTTGCCCGAAAACCGTGAGATATAAATTAGAATTATCATGTGTAAATAAAGAAGAAGAATGCTGACAATAAATTATTCGTTATTCGAGCGAAATAAAAAATAGCTGTGGCTCTCGGTGGCCTATTTAACTTATCGAATGGCCCATCAATCATTATTATGAAAAAAAAACTGATTGAATCACTTCATTGATTGATTCAAATTGTGAATTTACTAATTTATGAATTAACGAGTCGATTTACATGAAATAAAATTGTTCGTAAGAATAATCCCAACGAAATTGTCTTCTTCTTTTCTTCTGTAGTTGAATTTATCGAGTGAGAAATGATCTCAACACACGATCATCCCGCAAATTGGCTGAATTGCCTCTCCCGCGGGGACTCAAGCGCGTCATTGTTATCCACAAATTAATTGACTGAAAACTGGAGCGACAAATACAACTGGAAAATATCAACATCATCATCAGCATTGAACCCAGACCCCTTCGACCTCTCCTGATAACCCTTTTTCCTCTTCTGAGAAATGACGTCTCACACTTGCAGTGAATTATGTGTATTCCCCGGGAAGATTATCGTCGACTTCAGAACATCGCAGTTGGGTGTTCAGTTGAGCAAGACCAAATAGTCGAGTAACAGCTTCTCCTGAATCGCTGCGATAAAATGGTGAAATTGTTCGGTTGAAAATTTTTCACCTATTGTTCTCGTGGACCAGTGGGATGAGGGGGAAATTGGGGGATTGCGTGACTCCGTGGGTTGTTGTGGGAGTTTTTGTTGGGGTCGCGTGTGCGGTAAGATTTTTTCGCCTTTGTTGAACTCTTGTGGAAAATTATATCTGAGAATTTTTCTTTCGAAATCAAAACGAGGAAGTAATTAGTAAGAATTATTTCCAAGTTGAAGAGATAAGATTAGAATTCCAGAAACGTCAAAACGAAATTTACATTTAGTTGGATTTTATGTTTTACAATTTTGGTAAATTATTCTATTTATTTTTGCATCAATCGAAAATGTTAAAAAATGCTTTTCAAATTAATTTCTAAAAATCTACCTGGACTTATCTATTTCATTCATTGAACATTGTATTCCGATTTATTCATCCATTTAAATTTAACGCATTATTTCGAAGCGAATTTAGAACAATTTTCTGCAAGAAATGAAGCAAAATTGTTATTATACTCGAGCACGTAGTCAATTTCAAGGGTAAACCCCAAGGATGAATTGATAAGAGATACAAATATAAAATAATGAGTAACACTGGCACAGATTTACGATCCGCGGGAGACTACTGTGAAGCCGCCGCAGAGGAGAGAGCCGATTCCCTGGTACACGGATACCCAGAAATCGCGACCTCCCCCGCCGTTTCCGGGGGTGAAAACGAAGGCTCCGGGGAGTTGGGGGAAAATTCCAGGGGGTGATCTGGAGTTGAGTAGAGGGGGGTCTGATGGGGCCGATGTTCCTTTCGAGGTGTTCGAGGAGGAGGATCAGGCGCAGAAAGAGACTACTAAGGGATCGAAGGGAATTCCGAAGGAGCAGAGTGTTTATGAAGGCGCCACTGATGATCAAAATGTGGGTTCTTTTTTTTATTCGGGGATGTGATGAATAATTCATAATTTTTTTCGAATTAATGAATGAATGAATTAATTAATTCATTTATTCAGTCATTTTCAGACTTCTTTTCAGTTAAACAAGATTAAGAAATATGGAATTCTATCACCTGATTTTCATTTTTTATATTTTTAAAATTTAGAAACCGAGAAAAGAATTAATAAAGAGCTCTTCGAAGAGTCACGCTGCAGTAGTCGCAAAATACGATCCAAAAATTGGAGTCGAATGTCCCCATCCCGAGGCAAACGGCCAGTTTGTCTACCCCCCAGACTGTAAATTTTTCGTCAACTGCTGGAAGGGAAGAGCCTTCGTTCAGCCCTGTGCTCCAGGCACTCACTTCAATCCAGAGACCCTTGAATGTGATTTTCCACACAAGGTGAAGTGCTACGGGGGCGAACTCGCCGATTTTTCTGCTCCGGACAACCCCGATCATGAAATCCGAGAGCCGATGACTAGAGACTTCACTAGTCCCAAGTTGAATGTGATTATTCTCATTGACTCCTTTTCATTATAATTTTTTTTCCGAGATAAATTTTTCATTTATTCTTCAATTGTCGAAATAGCTGCAGCCGAAATGTCCGGAACAATTAAGTGGACTTCTGGCGCATCCAAGTGATTGTAGAAAATTTTTACTTTGTTCAAATGGAATAACTCACATTATGATTTGCGGCCCGGGGACTGTCTTCAGTCCTACAATGAGTACCTGTGATTTTCCCGCTAATGTAGCCGGTTGCGAAGGTACGAAATACTAAAAAAAATTGCCTACATGATGTCATTCATGAATTATGAATTATTATTTACCGGAGAAGACGCCACTGAAGTCAACCAAGGAGCCTACAACTCTCACGTACGAGACGTCCCCTTGAATCGAAAGAATTTCGACGCCCCGAAGAATTTCGAAAGCCACCAGTGGGGGCACCAACAACCCCCAGAGTCTCCTTCCTCCGGTTACACTAAACAAAATTCGTGGCAGCCCCCGCGTCAAGTGATCCAAACGGTGGCATGTCCCAGTGGTTTCTCGGGAATGTTGCCGCATCCCTCCGAATGCAAGAAATTCCTCCAGTGTGCTCATGGCATTGCTCACATCATGGACTGCGGCCCGGGGACTGTTTTCAATCCTACCTTTAGCGTCTGTGACTGGCCTTACAATGTTCCGGGATGTGGAGGTAACTCTCTTCATTCGATCCCCGAAACTACAGTCCATCCTATCCTTTTTTTTAAATTCTTCATCGAATTTAGAGAGTGGAAACGTAGAAAATCCGTGCCCAATAGTTTTGATAGAAAAAATCTCAAGAAAACAATTTTAATTGAAAAATCGAGATTTATTGGCCTTTTCCTATCGAATATCTAATAGAATCTGCGCAAAAAACATGGAATTTTAACGCTAAGATTTTCTATAAAATTTTTTCCATACGTGTTGTTGTTCATTCAAGACAAACCGAAGCCAGAGGCCCCGCCTGCCGTTCCCCTGACCCCTTCTTGGGACTCGTCGACCCCCTGGTCACCAGCAACTCCCCAAAATCAGTACGAAAGCCCCGGTAATCAGTGGGGATCGACCCGTTGGACCCCGAGCCCCTACCCCAGTGGAACAACTCACCCTCAGCATCAACACAATCATCATCAGAGTCACCACACTGGTCACCAGAGTCATGGCCCTCATCAGACGACTCGTCCAGGGTTTTATCCATTGCCCAATCAAAACCATCAACACCAGAACCACGGACGTGGAAACGACTTCGTCGAAGATGTTCCTGGCCAACCCTACCCCAATTATCCTCACCATCACCAGCAAGAAAGCCCTGGAAATGGAGGCTACCAGCCCGGCAGATACCCAGACCCTGCGAGTTACAACCGAGAGCGCCCGAAATACCCCGGCAGAGACGGAAGAACAAGTCCTGGATTCTCCCACCCCGAGGGGAACATTTACGTGCCACACGGCAGCTACCCTTCGGGTGCACTTGACTCTGAGAATTCTAGGAGAGATTGGGACAATAGCCCGGGGTGGAGACCGAATTCTGGGCCTTACGGCAGTGGCGATTCCCTTCCTGAAGAGTCACAGCCGCAGGGGTGGGCACCGCGACCTTGGGATAGGAGGGAGAACCAGAGACCTGGAGCACCTCCACCCGAAGGTAAATCTACTCCCAATTTCTGTCACGTTCTCTTCTATTTTAATGCACAAGCTTTCTTCACGAGCACAGCTTCTCATGCTTTGAAAAAATGCTCTCAATTGTTGAGAGAAATTTATTAATTGAATTGAAAAACTGGCGAAGATGTGAAACAGAAACACCTTCGCAACAAAAAAAAAATGAATTTGAATTTGAATTAAAAAATCCGTTTCAAGGGGGGAATGTCTATTCTCCGGATAGACTTGATCAGTGGCAGTCGAGGCCGAATGTTATCCAACAGGAGACTAAGCGCAGGGAGCAAGACGGCAGAATGGATGATTGGTCCAGTAAAACTAGTGTTTTCGGGCAGGGGAAGGGTCAACCGAGTTCAGGTGAGAGGAAAATGCGAGATGATCCCATGCATATCATATCGTAGTTGTAACTAGGGGATAAAGAAATTGACTTTGCAATATGAAGCCATATTATGGCTCGATAAATATGTTAAATAAACGTTATTGTCCTTGGGAAGTGGCTTAACTGCTCCAGGACATCAATAAATAGTAATAATCAATCAATATCCATTCGTTTAATCGAAAACAAAAATGCAGGATCGAAAGGACCTCGGCCGCAGTTTCCTGGAATCTACGTGAACGTAAATGGAAGTAGAGTCAAGGGCCATTACATCGTGACGGAGCCTGAGGTTCACCAGGGCCATTCCAACACTCGAATCTACAACAGCACACCTGCAAATTCTCCCAGTGTCCCTCCTCAGACGAAATTCAATGTTGAGCAGGGCAGGTATCCCAATCAATTGGAGACCAGGTGGAAACTACAAAAAGAGGGGAATCCCCCCAGCATCGGCTCCGGGTGGAACAGACCGGACACTGACACCCCTACAGTTTCCATCGACGAGAATTACGATGATCTGGGGGCTGATGAGTCCAACGAATACCCAGGCCTCGGTGAATTGGATAAAAAGCTCGAAGTCGATGTGCTGGACAAGGGAAGGGAAACCTGGAAACCCAAACTCGTGTTCGAGAATAAAACGAAGATCAACAATGACTCTGGTATCATGCATATCAACAGGAAAACTGTAGATATTGATATATTCGATGTGGAAGCCGCACCTTGGCTAGAAGGTATTTGAGTTGATTCTTTTTTTTTTAGGAGTTATCGGGGATTTTTTGGGGGATTTCCGGGGCTCTCTTGGGTCAATTTGGAATTTTTTATGGCTGATGCTCTGCATTTTACCGATGCTCTGCTGCAATTTCAAAGCATGGCTATCATTACTGCATTAAAGCAGGGGAGATCTCCTCACTGAATGAATCATTCTTGGATTTGAATGCATGGCAAGCGTTGCTGCAGGTTTTTTATAAAAAAAGAAATGTTTTTTTTCTTATTCAATAGAGGAACCTCCGTTCCCGATCTATTACCCACCTCCAGTTCGGGCTCTCGATTCTTCAGAAGACGAGAAGACTACACCGTATTCTGGCCAGGTGAGAATAAAAAAAACACTTGGAGTGTAGGAGAAACTCTATCGCTTTTTATTGTGAATAGATCATTAGATTGAGGGGAGGTTTGAGTGCTAGAGATGGGTACGTTGAGGTTCAAGGAGCTCATCCAGGTTGGGGAGTTATTTGCGACGTTAAAAATGAATGGACCATTAAGGAGGCGGATGTAATCTGTCGACAATTGGGATTTTCGAGGTAAAAAGTCACAAATCATGCTCCTGAAGCCATGAATTTTTTTTAATGACTAAATATTCTCAAGTCTGATTGAGTGATTTGACGAACTAAATCATGAAAAAATTGTAGAGGAGCTGCAACTGCATGGCAAGGTCGCCCACCAGCCGACGATATCCCGTCCTGGGTGGCTGCTACGAGTGTCCAGTGTTTCGGAAACGAAACAAAGTTTCAAAAATGTAGATTCATTCACGGAACTGACTGCAATGTGGCACGTGATGCTGTGGGCATCACTTGTCTCCCCAATCGAGTGGCCCACTGTCGGAAGGACGAGGTGGCTCATGCGGGCAACTGCTATCACCTCGCTGATGCCGATACTGGGCTCAATCACGACGAGGCCCTGCGATACTGCACGGATAGGCAGTCGAGGCTGATCGATATTACGAGTCAGAATGAGAATAATTTCTTGTCTGAGTGGCTTATGCTGGATCATCCCAGGGTGGAGACCATCATGACCGGTGGCCTCGGATTCTCTATGATGAATAAAACTATTTGGATATGGGAAGACTCTGCCAAGGCCAAATTCAAGTGCGTTTTTACTGTTTTTTTTTCTTCCAAAAGTTGTTCTTCAGGCGAAAAATAAATTCGTACGAACCAATTCGAAGAAAAACCTTCGCATTCATTAAATCGTATCCTTTTTTTTTCACAATTTAGATTTGCAAAGTGGTGGCCAGGCTGGACGGGAGAGAAACCCATCCCCCCCTGGACGAGTTCCCGGCCTTCCTGCATAATAATGAAGAAAAGTTTTCCCTGTTTCGATCGTCCAGACCGAAACTGCAGCTCCGAGTACTTCTTCTGGGACGCGGAGGACTGCGCATCGTCGAGCAAGGGTCACTCCTACATTTGCAAGAAGCCTTACGACGACATAAGCTGTGTTTACGGCAAGGGCCACCAGTACTCCGGTCACGCGAATGTCACGGCTTCCGGGAGGACTTGCCTCCCCTGGAGCGATGGGACAGTGGCTTACGCTCTGATGGTCAGTGTTCCCGATCGCGATGTCAGGAATAAATTGAAGGAGCACAACTACTGTAGGAATCCCAATCCCACCCAGGAATCGAGACCCTGGTGCTTCGTGGGAGCTTACGGGGAGAAGGAATACTGTGACATTCCTGCCTGTGGAAGCTCAGGTAGGGAAAGCTCCCCCAACAATTCCACAATTTTTTTTTCACCAATTCATAAATTCTCGTCTCAATTCGAATTAATTTCGCGAGGGAAAATTTTTCCCTGTAATTCATCTCAGAAAAAAACCGAAAACAACTCAAGTACATTTTCTCACTGTCGAAATCATTAACGAAATATCAAGAATTCCGCATTCACCCCTTTTGTAGGACAAGCCAGATCTCCCCAAGGTGGTCAATGTAAAAAAGGTCTCTTTGAATGCCTCCCAGAGGAGTGCATCCCCTCCCACTGGGTGTGCGACGGCGAGGAGGACTGCACAAACGGTAAAGACGAAAAATTCTGCTCACAGCATTTAAATTTCTTTGAGAAAACTGTGCAACACAAACTCGAGGGCTACGACGTGGAGAAATGGCTCAACACTCCCCCGAAAACTTGCGCATTGAGATGCAAAGAGGCGGACTTCACCTGCCGCTCATTCTCCCACAAGTAAATGAAGAGAAAATAATTAACTCGCTCCAAAGTTTTTTAATTGGAAAACTTGCATTGAATTTTGTTTTTCGTTGGCGAATAGGGCGGACGGAAACTTGTGTTTACTGAGTGATCACAACGTCGGCAGCACTGGGGGCTTGGTTGCAGACGTGGGCTTCGATTTTTACGAGATGAATGATCGTAAAATGGACTGCTCCGAGATGTTTGTTTGCAGTAATAAAAAGTGCATCAATCAGACGCAAGTTTGCGATGGAAAAAACGACTGCAATGACAGGTCTGACGAGAGTATTTGCACTCTTGAGAATCTGGATTATGGGATACGATTGAGGGGATCTAAAGCTCCTAATGAGGGGAGGGTTGAAGTCAAGGGTGAATTTCTATTCTTCTCTGCACCCATTCGTTGAATTTATATTAAATTATTCCATTCTATTGCTCCTATTCTACAGTTTTGGGACACTGGGGACAGGTTTGCGACGACGGATTTGGGATGATCGACGCCGAAGTCATCTGCAAGGAACTTGGATTTAATTTGGGAGCCTTGGAAGTGAGACCCGGAGGATTCTTCGGGAATATGGATCCGCCGACTGTCTTCATGGTCGATCAGTTGAAGTGCCGAGGGAATGAGACGTCTCTTAGGGAGTGCGACTTTAATGGGTGATTTTTTTTTCTCTTTTGAACGTCTGGGATTTCCGCATTCGTTTTTTTATAGGAGAGAATTCCCCAAATTATTCTTATATTCAATTTCCATAATTAAATTATTTAGATGGGGTGTGCACGACTGCTCCCCCGAAGAGGCAGTCGGCGTCGTCTGCAAGACAGCGCAGGACACCTGCAAGGACGGCGAATGGAAATGCGATAACAGTCCCACTTGTATTCGGACCCCATTCATCTGCGACGAAGTCGTCGACTGTCCGGATGGATCTGACGAGAGTCCCTCGCATTGTGAAGTAGCTTCCCTCACTCTTCTCTCATCTCCGCAAATCATGAAGAAGAAATGCCTCTGGAAACGTAATTTCTTTGATTTCAGGCACCTTTCGAAATTCGTTTGGTCAACGGGAGTCATTCCACTGAAGGCAGAGTAGAGGTGAGACATCATGGAGTCTGGGGAACAGTCTGTGATGATGATTTCACTCACGCTGCGGCTAAAGTCATCTGCAGGGCTCTGGGGTATGGAGGGAGTGCTGTTGCGAAGAAAAATGGCTACTTCGGAGCTGGGGAAGGGCCGATTTGGCTGGATGAGGTACAGCCGATGATTTTATTTTATAATTCGCTATTTTAACGAAAATTTGTCATGTTTTTAACTATTTAGGTCGTTTGCTATGGGAATGAAACCCAATTGTACCACTGTGAGCACGATCATTGGGGCGAGAGTAATTGCAACCACGACGAGGACGTGGGGGTGATCTGTCAAGAGGGGCCAATCAGTTTCGACGAGGTAACTCCCCAAGATAAAACAATCTTTTGAATTAAAACCTAAAATAATGTAAATAGCTTCAATAAAATTTGCTACTTGAATAAATTGATAAACAATTCTCCTGCATGAGTGAATTATTTCTTCCTGACCTCACGTCTTCCCTCGAATTTAGAAGAATGACGACAACCTGCCGGAAATAACGATCAATGAAATTCTGCCGGCTGAATGTGGCAAGAGACTCAAAGACTTTGACGAGGGGGACAAAATGTTCGAGAGGGTGGTGAGGGGCTCTGTCGCACCCAAGGACTCTTACCCGTGGCAGGTATGTGACGAGTGTCAATCGAGTGCTAGTTGATCGGAATAATTGGGGTATTAGGGTATTGGTATTGAATAATGAGGTGATTAATTTGTAAGGCGAGTTTAAGGGTCAGGGGTCACAGCCGATCGAACCACTGGTGTGGGGCGGTTATTGTATCGCCTCTTCACGTTTTAACAGCTGCACATTGTCTGGAGGGCTACAATAAGGGCACGTACTTCGTACGTGCTGGAGATTACAATACTGAGGTAATTGAAGTAACTCGTTAATGGGATTATTTGCAAGTCAGCATAACTATTGCTGCTGATGAATTTAAATGATCATTCCAAACGGATTAAACCCCTTTTATTCTCGCCTATCTTCTCTCTGCCAAGATCGATGAAGGAACTGAAGTAGAAGCGAACATAGAGGATTACTACATCCACGAGGAATTCCGGAAAGGTCAGAGGATGAACAATGACATTGCTCTCGTGCTATTAAAAGGCCGGGGAATCCCCCTGGGCGAGCACGTAATGCCAATTTGTTTACCACCGAGGAATGCCGAGTATCCTGGTGGACTCAACTGCACCATCAGTGGATTCGGAAGTATCGAGAATGGAAAATCCGCACACTCCAGGGATTTGCGGTTTGGCTGGGTGCCACTGATCGATCAAAATGTTTGCAAGGCTGATTATGTTTATGGGAATAAGAGGATAACTGACGGAATGCTTTGCGCTGGCTATTTGGATGAGGGAGTTGATGCTTGTGACGGGGACTCTGGAGGACCCCTGGCTTGTTATAGAAACGGTAGGTTTAAGATCGATTTCTCATTTCGATATTTGTTCCATCAATTCCTGCAATTTTTTGCTCTTTTCTCAGGGGCTTTTACACTGTATGGTATTACCAGCTGGGGCCAGCACTGCGGAGAAGTTAATAAACCTGGGGTTTATGTGAGAATATCTCATTACCGAGATTGGATAGACAAAAAAATTCAAGACTCCCTCTCAGGGCGGTGAATAAAAATTCAACGGAGATGGAAATATTTTTTTCATTACTATTCCGAGGGAATCAGCAAACTACTTGAGAGAAAATTATTTCGAGCCCAAAGATGCAGCTGTATTAATTGTAATAGAAGTATAGATCAAGGCGAATAATAAAGAAATTTTTATTGCATTGTTATTGCGTAATGATGATAATGGGTGGATTGAGACCTTCACAGCTCCCTTGGGACAACTTTTTTTTCTCCTTTTTATCTTGATTACTTCCGCCCTCTTTTTATACTAACGTCTGCAGATTCCCCGGAGGTAATCATTGCTACAGAACATCATGGTGGGTGGATGAATAGGTAGTTTGTTAACAATAGACCAGTCGCTGAAGAGCTTATTTCATACTATCTCCTGTCAGTTCATTAAAGTCGGTGAACTGATATAATAATTTAAACAAAAAATGCAAAATAAAATTTTTTCTCTCGATTTCCACGAGATCTCCTCCGCCTAAACGAACTAAACGAATTCCACACGGATTTATTTAATTTCCTCGGGTGGAAAATATACTCAGTTCTATTGTATTCAGAGTGAAAATGAGTCCTGCATGAATTAATGAGGACTTCCTGACCTCACATCTTTCGCGAAAAAAAGAACAATGAGGGTAATGAAATTCTCCCGAGTGAATGTGAATAGTAAAAGACCCGGGGCGCCGACGAGGCGATGAAATATTAGAGGGGAGCTCAGGACCCTCACTCACATGTTAATAATATCCCCTCATCCACCCCTAGAAATTGATGCCAATAGTTGAGATGACATTGAATAATGGTTAAACGAATTTCAAGTCGATTTCTCGTATTATGTTTCATGATGTGACCAACTGGGGTCACTGAAAATAAACCAAATAATCCCCGGGATTAGGTGGAAATATTTCATCACCGAGACAGCCGAAAAAAGTCGGGAGTCTCTTTCACGACGACTGAAAAAAAAAACTCGTGTATTCTGTAAAATTTTTATTTCAACTGAATAAATAAACAGTCGCCTCCAAAAGTGTAACTAAATAGAATACATACCTCGACTGCGAATATTCAAATACTTCAGCTCCATTAAGCACTCTTGTATTTAATTGTGAAAATACAATTGCATAATTCACTCTGTTGGAGGATTAAAAAATTGATTCAAGTCTAAAATTTCAAGTAACATGAATTTCTTACAGGTGTAGAGATGCCAGTGTACTAGATACGTAAATACATCGTGGAATAATACATGAAATAATTCACTCTAATAAAATGTAAATATAACTTGTAATTTTTTTCGATATTGAAGAGAAAAGTTGTTTTTGATTCAAGAAAAAACACTTCTAAAAAATAAATTTTCGTTTGCACACGATTTGATTGAATACAATTGAAGGTAATGAAACGAAAATTATTTATTCAATGAAAATAAATAATTTCTCTGTCTGATGATAGATTCTCTAATTCGTGTTTCTCCCCTCAATGCATCCATTGTCTCTCATTTCGTATGATTTTTTAATATTCATTAGAAACTTTCTGACTTTACAAGATTATGTTGATTCTCTAGACTCTCAATAAGATTAACATACTGTAATGGTTGTGTAACATTAATTTTCCTCTTTCTAAAATACTCCCTCCTGTGTTTATCATTATTTATAATAGTCAGTGTTGATGAACCATTGTCATTTTTACTTACATCTGTACTGCCAACTTGGGCAATACTGTCTGGTATTGGCAATGGTTTAGCAACACCAATTCTTACTGTTCCCTTTGGTGCACCCTTCAACGCTTGGACAGCTTGATCAAGCGTTGCATTCTCAAGAACAATATTATTTACGAATAACAAACGATCACCTGGAATTAGTTGTCCGTCCATCTGTGCAACACCACCTGGCACTAATGATCGTATTACTATCACAGTTTCGTTGGGGTTCATTGGATCCTGGAAAACATAATAATTCAACCTATTTTCCCAAACATTTGCCTTCATATTATTAATTCAAAATCCGTTTTTATTTTGAAATAAACTCAATTCAATTTAAATATCTGGAAAACTAGTGTCAAGGGACCTTTTCCTGCCGATCATAAAAATCTATTTAAAAATACCAGAATCTCTAGACAAATTCAGAAATAAATTAAAAAAGAATTAAATTCACCTGATAATCTAAAATAGAAAATCCAAGGCCTCTTTCCCCCTTAACAAGCTCAATAATCTGTGGCTCTGAACTCCACATTGCCAGTCCAGTCAGTGGCTCCAGCGATCTAGACTTCATCTTTGACAAACTGGCGTCAGTGACAGTAGCTGTTGTCGTTGTTGATGCCAGAGAGCCATCCGACTTGGCCTTCACTAAACGATCCATCGTTGGTAGTAAATTTTGTAGGGACCCGCCCAGAATACTCTGAAATAAATAATTCAGATGAATAATTTTATAGCTCTTCGATCTGTTGTTCCTCCTGGGATACTTTGGATTTGGTATTTACTCGAGTCTGAAATGCCGCTTGATGCTGTGCAGTGTCGATGGGACACAGGGCGTCCTGGGAGGATGTACTCCTCCCACACACCATTCGCACGTGAATTGGGAGTTCTTTTAAAACCGTCACTACTTCCATGTGATTAATACCTAATAGACGATAGCCATTGACCTAGAAATATCAGGGTAAATTGAATGATCATGTGTGATGGGGAAAAAATTGGGGGAGGGGATTGATTACCTCGAGAAGTTCGTCCCCAGACCTGAGGATTCCATTTTGTCCAACAGGACCTTCTGGTAAAATCGAACGAATGTAATGATGTGGCCTAACTTCCTGTCCATTTTCTACGTCTACTGTGCCCTCTAAACTTATACCGAGACCACTACTTTCGGCGAATTTCTTCAATTGAGCCACCTGAATTATAAAATTGAGAAAAATATCATTTTTCACATTAAAGATGGTAAAATTGACTAGGATTTAAAAAATCTAAATGATGAACTTACAACAATCTCAACGTCAGGACCAACAATTCGTTGCCATTTGACTTTAATAGCCGCTTGAATCTGTGGCGTAAGTTCACAGGATGGATCGCTCAATAGAGCCTCCACGAGTGACATATCTTCAGGTTCATCATCAAACTTTTCCCCTTCCTGCAAGATAGCACTGTCCACTGTTGTATGAGACTCATTCTCAGCTTCAATCTCGGTCATGGTGTCTCCATCCTGCGAACATGGAGCGAAAAAAGAATTTCTTCAAAATCTTCCCAGTTAAAAACTCAACTGCCAAGTCGATTTATAAAAAAAAAGTGAAAGATATCCTGATAAAATGAGAGTTGTGATGGCCTCGAATATTGATCATAAATGAATTTTATTATCTATCGATTAATTTATAAAACATTAATCGTAAAGCTTCTGGTAATTGACTTTTTGAACTGGAATTAATGGAATGATAATCTTGTAGCTTGTGTCTTGATGGTGAAGAGACAGGACTCGATGACGATCTAAACCTGCAATAAATATTATCTCTAAATATTATCTAATCGTTGACATTGACAACCAAATAATAAACGAGGAAAATTCGTTGAGAATCTGCAACTCTTCTCCAAATACTAAAAAATCTACAAATAAAAAATGAAAACGGGCCAAGCTAGACTATTTCACTACCTAAATTCACAGGACCAAAATCTTCACTCAACAAAAAAAAAAATTAACAAACACTCTGAGGAGAGAAAAAAACTACTTGAATTGTGTAGAATTTACTTACAGCACTGATAGGAAAACTGGGTAAACTCGTGAGTGAAGGTGAGCTGGGTTGAGGCACCCTCAGCTCGCTGGCAGCAATGGCCTGCTGCAGTTGTTCATACTTTGGTCCACGTAAGTATCTCTCCAAGCACAGCATAACTATTTGTCCAGTGCTCCTGAGCACCTCCACAGCCTCGTGATTCGAATATCCCTGGAGTGAGTGCCCATCAACTTCGACAATTCTATCATTAATTTGAATTTTTCCACTGAGATCAGCAGCACTTCCCTTGCTGATGCTCTTTACAAAAATTCCAGAAAGTTCTTCTGAAAGAAATGAAGCGGAAATTCATTTGAATAAAATTACAGATTGATGAATACATTTTAACATTTTTCATGCATTCATTTCCTCTCATGTCCATGATTAGATCGTATTTGATAGATAATCCCACCTTTTTCACAAACGTATCCAGCGATGGTAATTCCCAATCCATAACTATCCTTTTTGAGCTCCACAGTGAATCTCTCCATTTCAGGGAGCGAACTGACGTCAAGAGGATCCATAGAGAGTACCGGGAGGTCTGGAATTACTGGAACGACAGGAATTATCGGAATTGCCCCAATTGGCAGGGGATTGCGCACGACATCCATTATGAGACTGGGTCTGTGCATTTCCATGTCTCCATCCTGATTGAACCCCCCATTGTCAGTTGTCGATTCTTTTCTGAGGTGTGGGAGGTTGTAGGTCTCGGGAGCTGTGTGCAGCAGGTGCCTGTCGAGCTCCTCGGGGTCACCCAGGATTTTCGTGGGGACAATGGGGGCATGACTCCCCAGGGCCTGGTAATCAGGGGATGTTGGCTCAACTGGTCTTGCCACAACGAGACGAACGTGAGTGCCTGATTGTCGAAGTACTGCTGCCACCTGTTATTTTCACGTGCAGAGAACGTGTTTTATTCTTTCTGAGTGAGTTTTTGAGTAAATTCAATTGAAACATCCGAGAAACCGAGATAAATTAAGAATAAATTGAGGTAATCACCTGTTCAGACCCCATTCCTCGTAAATTGACATCACCGATCTGGAGAATGTGATCACCACTCTGGAGCCTGTTGTCACGATCAGCAACACCACCTGGCAGAATTGTTTTGACAACGACTCCAGTGCTCCTGCCACCGATGATACCGAAACCCAGACCACTGCCATCGTTTATCAGGTTTATAACTTCTACTTGGGCCCACTCTGTATTTAAAACCATGTCAGAGCCAGTTTTGGAGGTGTCACTGACGGCTGAGGGACTCCTCTCGATGGGGAGGGACTCGGGGGGTGGCGCCTGGGGGTGGGATGATTGGTTCGATTTCGATGATTGTACGGTTGAAGTGGTCGACCAGTCTTTCTCGGGCTGGTGATCCTTTTGGTCCGCCTCGCTGGCGATGAGGGTTGGGGTCGATGCTTCTGATGCTGCATGCGGTGGCACGGGATCTGATTTTTTGGGGGGAGAAGCGGGATAATCAGATGATTTTATCGATTTTGTCGAGGTATTAATTTGTTTCACTATTTTGTCAATCTTGTAAAAAAAACTAACAATAGTGCAAAGGCTGTTTTCCAGTTTGCTCTCACCTTGATTACTTCTAGCAACAACTAATTCGACGATTCCCCGGGCCTTTTGGAGGATTGAAATTGCCTGCTCATGCGATATATTCGAGTCCAGTGGCTGTCCATCGATCGCCAGTATTTGATCACCCTCTACCAGTCGACCGTCACTGCAATTCCACAAAGCGGAATTAAATAAAACCTCTCACTAAAATAAAATCCCATCCCCTTTTCATTAAACCACGAAAGGGAAATCTGGAACACACCTTCTCCACTCGATTCACAACCACTGAACATCTCCATCAATTATTTATTAAAACTTGAGTTAAAATTGTTTTAAGACACAAGACGTGTTTAGGACTATTAAAATTTTTGGTTGGAGATAGAAAAATTTACGAGTAGAAATTCGTTATTTTAGATTTCACTGAGCAATATTTTTTAATAATGTGACCCATAGTTTAAGTACTACACTAGTGTCGTTATGACCCTCGTGGATCGATTGTTCACCGTCACGGACGTATGGAAGATGCATTAATATTGCGTATCTTCCGACTGTAAAAAAAGTACGGATGACCGATTTTGATGAGTGAATTGTTCGACTCCATGAAATAAATTGGATCTATTTTGGGGTTTTTTGTTCTTTCAATCTTGCACTGGACTGTTGCAGTGTTATTGAGGTACTGCGGCGGTGATGGGATGCTTTCCAAGACCGAGGGTGTGAGCATGCGTTGACGGGAGGGATACGGTGTGACGTAGGGGAGTGAGAGACCCAGTTGTTTAACCCCGAGTGTTATCACTCCCTTCACGAATCGACAGGGATTATCGATTTTAGTATTATGTTTTTATTTTTATATATTAAATTGGGGAGATTTCAAAAGGATTGAAAATTGTGAATGGATTAGATAAGAAATTTAAATTATTTTTAGGGTCTTTTAAATTTAACGGAGAACACTGTAAGTTGTTGTCAAATTCACGAGGGAAAAATGGCAGGCCTCTCTTGGTAAAATTCTCTAAACATTTTTTTCTTGATCATTTTTAATGTTTTTCGATTTTTGCCTTCAAACATTGAGTCCAAATATTCTAGATATTAATCTTGAGAAAAAAAATTCTCGAGGGTTGAATGGAATAAGAGAAGAAATAATTCTTAACGAACGAGATTCAAATACTTCTTACCATCCTGCAATTCCATTCGGTTGAATTTCCTGGAGGAAAATTCCAAGTTCTCCTTTATCAGTACTACGGAGACCAACAACACTAAAACCGAGACTTGTGCCCTCGGGTTTATACAACTGGAAGAAAAAAAATTATTGAAACAATTTGAAAGATTACTCTCCTTCAAATTTTTAGCAAAAAAATTTTCATTCTTACTAAATAAATAAAAAAAATTATTTTCATTCACCTGAACAGTGACAACTTGTCTGCCCTTAGCAGCAGCATCAATGACCTTTTGAAATTCCTTGGCATAAGTTGGAGTGGTGATGGGTGGAATGCCAATGACCTCAGAAGCAAGACTTGGACTAGTGACCTACAATTTTATCGTGAAAAAAATCTACATTATATTGTAAGAATTTATGAATCCCAGATTGTTGCCCAATCGTTGAGAATTTTGTACCTGCGCCGATGTGTCCTCACTGCTGCTGTGGACCAGAGGAGCCACGGGGACCCTCTGGTCGTCCTGCTCGCTAGTGTCCTGATACAATTCCTGATAAATGTTACCTTCGATCGGTTGGGTCGGCGTTGTGGGGACTGATAGCTCCAGCTGACCGTTCAGATTGATATCAAAGTCCCCAGGGAGGATGGAGGGATGCTGGGTCAATTGGGTGTTCAAATCGCCCAGTGAATCCTGGATTACAGCTATGTTTCGAAGCACTGGATTCTCCAGGAGGGATATCAAGGACTCCAAATCGGTGCTCGTGTGCATCTGGAGTTTTGGATCATCACTGTCCTTGACTCGATCGTAAATGTGCTCCAGTAGATGGAGGGCAGTTGATATATCTAGGGAACATGGGATTTAAAACAAAATTTATCGTGAAACCCGTGAAAATGGAGAGAAAATTTATCCTTCGAATGGACATTGACTAAAAATTGACTAAAAATTCTGGTTTAATATACTCCTGCACCCAATTACACTTCCCCAAAGTCCAAAAACGATAAAAATCTCTCCCTACTCACCTGTTAATTTTAATTTCTTCATCAACTTCCTCTCATAACACAAAAAACTGAAGGATAAAAATTTAATTACCTGCATTTAAAGGCATAATGCTGAATGACCTTTACGTGCAATCGAATGTACGTCCTGAGACCCTGAAAATGCACGTAAATACTTCGCTTAATGAATCCACAAAAACGCTTTAAGGTTATGAGTTCAAGGACCAATTAGTCGTGTGCTATACAGGAAGAAAATAACATTCGAAAGACTAAGTAACAATAGAGCGGAAAAATTTATTGAGAATTTATCTACTTACGATAATTATATACACTTATTTTTACCCAAAGTGAAGGTGAAAAACTCCAGGGAATTCACGTCTACATTTGTCCAGTTTTCTGGATATTATCGGGGTTTTGGGTCTTGTCGACGATGATTTGACTCACGAGTGGTGGATTATTATTGTTTTATTGTTTCACGAGTGAAATTCGCGGATTATTTGATATGTCAGTAGCAAAGTGGCAGGTTTACCGATTATCTCTGGTATGTAGCTGATTGACTGAGTGTATGTGGGGAGGGAGAACTGTCATGTGTCATTTTCCGGTTATTTTACACTCGTCTGGGGACGACCAATGGGGAGAGAGCGTTTGGTGGCCGGGGAGAAACGATTGGTCGAGACTCAGGACGACTGGAGAAGCTCGAAACGCGCCTTTAGAGTCGGGGTGGAAAATAAAGAGCCAATGGCGAAGTTGAGATACTTCTGGAGGAAATTTGATTCAAAATATGGGGGGAAAACTTATTGAATTAAGACACGGGGAGTAATTATTTTACAATTAATTATCAAGGCTGACGAGAGATGAATCGGATATTGCAGCAAGAAAGTGATTAAAAACTGAGCTGTAATTTTGAGGAATTTCTTGGGGTCGAAATGGACATAAATTCGATTTTTATCTTCTTTAAGGAAGTTTAATTGAGAAAAAGAATATTTTTAACATTCTTGAATATTACTCATTGCATTCAGATGATTTTCAGAATATTATGTTGACGAATTAATTTTCGTAATTCAAAATTTTGAAAAATTTTGTATAAATAATAGAGAGTCAACATTATTCAAATTGTTTTCGCCAAGAGACTGTAAACTAGTTCAATTTCCATATATCATTGAATATTTAATTGCCCTCATAACGAATGGCAGAAGAAAATTTATAATCGCAGTGTTCTGTCCATTCACAAGGACAAGGAAGTGATTCAAAGGAGGACTTGGCTCTCCCACAAACAACAGCGAAAAAAAAGAAGGCAAAACAAAGATATTCCCATCTGACAAAGACAATCAGCTTAAATATTTTAACTCGAACGATCTCGTATCGCAATTGTTGTGAGTGTCCATTCCGGTGGAGGGTATCGAATCGCCGAGACACTGTCGTGTAATCTGTGGGAGAGGAAGGGAGTCAGCCAAGCATATCCGAAAGGAAAGGAAGTTACATGAACCCCAGTTCCGCTTGTTCTCCAGGCGTTTGTGTACACCTTTTTTTTGTTTGAAAGGATTTCGAGTAACGAATTTGTTGTTGCCTTGACCATGACAAAAAATATCGGTAAAAAGTGCTTGGACTTTCTAATGAGTTTCGGTTTCTTTTGTTGACGATTTCCTACGCAAACAATTACAAACAAATTAATCACGTTTATCTCGAGGTTTGAGTTCCGCTGTTTTTCTAATTGTTGTATTGATCATCCCACACTAAAGGGAAATTTTTTACGAGATCAACTGAATGTTTATCAATTTTTAAATAAGCTCATTTCTCTGAAACAGCCATTGCTCCTCTAGCTTCAAACTTCCACCCTTTAATTAAAAAAATATATGAGGAATCGAGGACTGCATAAGGTTTATTTGTATTGGGTGGGGTAGGGAGCGAGGCAACGGGGTGCTTTCATTTCCTCGGCGACTTCCGGCAACCGCGGTGCTTCCGCCATATCAGGGTTGAAGCTGCTGACGGGGCTTTCAATTTCGTACAGGAGCCGTTGGGAGTCTCGGGTACGTATTCGTGTTCTACCGTGTTCCGGTTCCGTTTCCACCGGTTCTGTATAGATTGTTACGTACGGCACCCACACCCAGTTACTATACCTTTACATCCCTTCCGCTTTTCTGAACCCACCTCTAGTCTACATGGTCTTCTTCGAGTTCCGTTTGCCGTTACTTCCTTCCTATTTGACTTGAAAAACGGTTTTATGCTTCTGGCGACGGTAAATGGAATTTCAAAGGTGACTTTACTCCAAAGACTATTGAGGAGTGAATCAATTCATGTTTTTCCTATTGATTTAAATTAGGGCTATTCAGAATTCTCAAAAGTATGTGGAAAAAGTAAACACTGAAAAAAATTTTTTTTCACCCGGAGCCGAAGTGCCTAATGCCACTGCGCCCCTCACTTGCCCCAGAAATGCAGAAATAAAAAAAATTTTTTTTCACCCGGAGCCAAAGTGCCATATTTAGGGTTTTTTCGGGGGGAAAGTCGACTTTCGCCAAAATCGAATTTTTCCGCCGAGTGAAAGTCGATTCTGTATTTTCTGGCCCGCCTAATGCCACTGAGACCCTCACTTGCCCCGGAAATGCAGAAATAAAAAAATTTTTTTTTTGCACCCAGAGCCAAAGTGCCATATTTAGGCTTTTTTCGGGGGGAAAGTCGACTTTCGCCAAAATCGAATTTTTCCGCCGAGTGAAAGTCGATTCTGTATTTTCTGGCCCGCCTAATGCCACTGAGGCCCTCACTTGCCCCGGAAATGCAGAAATAAAAAAATTTTTTTTTTGCACCCAGAGCCAAAGTGCCATATTTAGGCTTTTTTCGGGGGGAAAGTCGACTTTCGCCAAAATCGAATTTTTCCGCCGAGTGAAAGTCGATTCTGTATTTTCTGGCCCGCCTAATGCCACTGAGGCCCTCACTTGCCCCGGAAATGCAGAAATAAAAAAATTTTTTTTTTGCACCCAGAGCCAAAGTGCCATATTTAGGCTTTTTTCGGGGGGAAAGTCGACTTTCGCCAAAATCGAATTTTTCCGCCGAGTGAAAGTCGATTCTGTATTTTCTGGCCCGCCTAATGCCACTGAGGCCCTCACTTGCCCCGGAAATGCAGAAATAAAAAAATTTTTTTTTTGCACCCAGAGCCAAAGTGCCATATTTAGGCTTTTTTCGGGGGGAAAGTCGACTTTCGCCAAAATCGAATTTTTCCGCCGAGTGAAAGTCGATTCTGTATTTTCTGGCCCGCCTAATGCCACTGAGGCCCTCACTTGCCCCGGAAATGCAGAAATAAAAAAATTTTTTTTTTGCACCCAGAGCCAAAGTGCCATATTTAGGCTTTTTTCGGGGGGAAAGTCGACTTTCGCCAAAATCGAATTTTTCCGCCGAGTGAAAGTCGATTCTGTATTTTCTGGCCCGCCTAATGCCACTGAGACCCTCACTTGCCCCAGAAATGCAGAAATAAAAAAATTTTTTTTTTCACCCGGAGCCGAAGCTTTCAATTGAAACCCCGAGTTGAAAACCCGAGTTTGTAGTAAAAATGTCAGACAAGATATGAATGTTTTTTTGGGCTCAAACGAAAGAGCGGGTCGAGAAATAACGTGCTAGAGCCTCTCAACATGACAAATGTCTCTAAAAATGATATGTTTTCAATTGAAAAACAGAGTTGTGACATCATTGTCTAGGAGGACAATAGGGTCTAGGAGTATGTATAGAACATTGGGGTCTAGGAGTCCCCCCTGGTTCCAAACCATCGTTAGAGGACTTTCCGGAGAAATGCAGAAATGAAAAAAAATTTTTTTTAGTAACTAGCCCCTATATTCCTATTACATGACCACATGAATGTGGGCATCGCCACTTCCGCTGGGTTTTATGTCACACGATATTCTCCCGGAATGACTCTATCCCAAAAATTCCAATAGCGCGAGTTAAGATATTCCCGCAAATATTCATTATTTCCCTTCACTCTTAATTGGAAAATTTCACACGAAAAATTTTGAAACATCCATAATTTTCCCAAAGGTCGTGATGCAAATCTCCAGTGCTAACAATGAATGATGTTGATCGCGGCACGACAGGCGAAAAGGTGAGGTGTGTTAATTTTCCCCTCCCGCGGTATTTTTCATTGGTTTGAACAAACGACAGGGAACGAGAGAGGGGTTAGAGAAAAGTGCAAAGAGAAAGGGCGCAGGAGGATCGTAGACCTGCATCGGGTTACAACATCGGATTGCACATTGCGGCATGTATAAATCGCCCGTTACGCCATTCCGATGCGGTGCCGAGAATGAGAAGAGAAGTTCTCTCACTCTCCCCTCTATCGTACGCCGGGCTCTTTCCTGAGGTCTCCTTCGACGGGATTCAGGACAGGTTGCGCTGTTCTTGAGGAATGTCACGCGTAACTCTGATACCGAAGCCCCAGCAGTTTCGTTTACGTGTATGTGTGTGTGTGGATAGGGGCTAAGGAACAAGGGGAGACGACACTTTGCCTTTACTTCATCCGGGATAGGATGATCGTTCACTACATTTGCCTCTCCTTCCACTCCCCTGACATTTTTTTTTCTTTATGAGATTTTTTCGAGCCGCACCTTATCTCACTTTCTTGCTTTAATCATACCAGGCAACCTGTGTGAACTGGGGGAGCTGACGCGATCGCGAATTGGACGTTGATGACGTCTATTATGTCACTCGCACCGAAAAATTTCAATTCTCAAATTTTGGATTTTAATTAAATGAAGTTGATTCCATTGAGATAATTTTCCATCTTTTGTAATACAAATAAAATGTCTGTGATTGGTAAACCGTCCACGCCAGCATTTCAATTCATTTTACAACTTGGTTCATGTCTGACCATTCATTTGGCTTATCAATTCGAAAATTAGCTTCATTTCATGGTTCTACGGGCGACTCAACTCCAGAAGATGACAAAATCACGTCAATCAATCTCTCTCCCCCAAATGATAACAATTCCATCGTCAGACCCACCCCGCTCCTGAACCACATAATCGTCCTCTCCTCAAGAATTCAAAAACCGTCTCAGCCTCTCCCCCATCCCAAAACTCTCAAGACTCAACATCCAGTCATCATCCCCGAGAAAAAATCCCCGAGAACAAGTTAGTAGATGAAAAATGATGTGGCAGGTGACGTTGGAATTGCGATGTCACCGTGTTTTGGCTTCCTGGGAAAAAAAATGAAGAAGAGAGGGGGATGTAAAAAGTGATCCTCACCTACCTCAGGATCCACCACATCCTTTTCCAGGTCTGATCATCGGAGACGTTACGGACGACCAACATTACCACTACACTGGTAAGAGGCATCGAGGTGGAACTCATAAGCCCCTGACGATCCAAGACATAACAGGTAAAACAGGTTTGTGGGCGTCTCGCGCTACCTGTCCTGCTTTATCCCTCTCTCCTCGCTCTTCATCTACATCATCAAACGTCTCTCTCCCCTTCACCGGTCCTTGGACACTTTGGGGTCTCCTTTGATTCCTGCGGAAGGCGTTCCGAGGGGGAGAAAAATAAAGGTGGATGAAGAGAAATGGTTGCAAGAACCCGCGGGGGAAGAATAAAAAATATCAAGAGTGAAAAAAAGAATAAGGGGACCGACGGGACAGACCTTACGGTCCACGATCCGATCTTTTAGTGGATATATTTATGTAGTGGTGGGTAATGTATGTGAGGAAAGAATGCAATGCGGATCTAAGCGGGGAAGAAAGGAATGAAAAAATATTGTGTGGGGAGAATGAAAAGTGAAACGAAACCAAAGAAATACCGGACGAAAATCCAAGGATCCGGGGGCGGGGGAAGTTTTTCTGATTATTGTGGGGAGATTATTTCCATCTTGACGGTTATATCGAAGGCTCATGATCTCGAGTTATATCTCAAAAGTTAATTTTTTAACGACTACGGAGTAGCAACGTCACGACCGACAAATTAGTCCCAATAAGGACAGTTTTTTTTTTTAAATTAATTATATTGTAAGTGATCCGGGCTGTATTTTGGGTATTCATATGCTCTAGGGAGCAGAGTTTTATTCGATTCATGTGCGTCATTCCTCTGGGGGGCAGACAATTAAAATTTTCATTTTTAATGATTGACCTACTAAATAATCAACACCATCTGACCCGTAATTTTCATCCATAATGATCCTCTCCAGTCTTTAAATCGATTCCAACTCGACTGAAGAGAGGAGAAAGAGATGACGATAAATCATCGAATCCCCTGCGACTCCGTCACCGTTTCATTTCAATTTAAAACGACTGGTGGAGTGAATGAGAGAAAGAGAATAAATAAGTAAGTAAAAAAATGACGCCTCGGAACATTTGAATCCATTGCGCCACGCAAATTGAAAAGGTCAAACGAGCGTGGAACGATAGCGCTCGCCCGCATCGCCTAGAAGATTGGTAACAATTTCCGTAAGACAGATCGCCGATGAGAAATATCATAAATGCCGCACGTGACGGCGAGAAGATTGTAGAATCACTTGCATATGTCAGTTGAAAGGAACAAATTGGAAAATTTATTGGTCTTTCGAACAAAAATATTGACTTCTCCCATTTTTTTATCTTAAATGCATATGTCAAATAAAATGTAATATTTTCCTTTGAAGACCTCACTTGATGCAAATGCGGGGTTGTGACGTCACGAAGGAAAAATTGAACATCACTTTGACTATGAAAATCAATAAATAACTACATGATTATAAATAATCCAAGCCATTTCCTATTCAGAAGCAAATGAAAACCTCCAATCCCAATCATAATCAATTTCTCCAAACCCCAAGAATCCCCGGATTCCTACAAAATTCCGGAACCCACCCCCGATCCCCGCGACACGAGGAAGCTACGAGGAAGTCTTCGTCCGAGCCGGCAGTCGTCCGCTCCCATTCCCCTCCCACACTCCGGCTACCACTCGGGAGCCTTCGGTCCTCCCCTCCCCACCCGCAAGCTTCGACTATTTCTCCTGGAGCCGGCTCCCCAGGCCAATCCGCCTGCCCCGTCCAACCAATTCCCCCAATGTAACCCCAGGCATTCCCCTGTAACAAATAACAACTCTCTTTCTCCCTCTCTTTCTTTCTCCTCCTCATCATTCCCGTTTATCTGTGTGTGAAGTTAATACCGCGGCGGGAGGGGTGGGGGAGATAGAGTGGGCAACCTTCCGCCATCCACTCGACACTTCCTAAAGGCCTGCCTCGAGAGTTTCAAGTGACGATATACAAAGAATTCTCAGTCGTTCGTCAGCCACAGTACGTGACGGTGCTGTTACTCCACGGTGCCGTCCCTGTTTATTTTCCACCCTTCGATCAATTATCCCTTATCACCCCCCTCCACCCGATAAACAAAACAAACACATAAAAGTGGATAAACGAGCGAATGTATAAACAATCAAGATGGTTAAAACAAAGCAGTGAGTGATGAGGAGAATAGTGAATAGAGGGGACAAATTATTGAACTGTTGACGGATCCTTTCATCGACTGTGATAGGTACCATAATAAAAAACATCAATTAATAGGGCAGAGTCTTTGTCACGCGAAATTGAAGATTTGTTGGTGATTATTATTATTATTTTTTTTTTTTGAGGAACTTTTGCCAGTTCCGTGTGTTATCAGACGTACGATTAGTCCACCGAAAATAACGTGCCCCTCGGAGTCAATCCCCTCCTGCCTCCCTCCAACAGTTCTTGGGTTATACATTTAGAGGGATTGACCAATGAACAGTGGTAAAGTGCAAGTTATATCGCGAGGAACGGCGAGACGGCAGCCAGTGACACTCATTCTTGGATTTTAGAGGAATTTAACTGAAGCTGGTCGAGGTAATTCGATGGTTTACTGTCATTTGGGGCTCATTTTTTGGGGAAAAAAATGATTCACTTCGTTTCAGACGTGGTGAATCAATTGTTTTGATGGAGTTTGCCTCTTATTTTGATGAAGAAATGGTGTTTGATGACTTTAAATTCTATGTTTGAATAGCATGAGAGTAATGTTTATGATTAAAAACCACCTGTGCAAAGTTGCCACGATTCTCGGGATTTAAGCCTTTTATATTCTCTTTATTCACTCTCGACAAACGTGCGAACACGAGACACGTTCGTGACTGGTGTACGATAAGACGTTTTTGCTGTATGTAGATTCTTGACGTAGATTGTGGACTGAGATTGGACACGGCCAGCAGGGTCATCAATCTCTGGATAATCGATTGGATTTTGTAATCCTTTAATCGAGTTTTTTGGAATTTTCCGCGGAATTAAATGACCACGTGCTGTTTCTGACCCCAAACAAGGGAGGGAGGAGGTGTCTGGAGTGGGATTGGCGCCAGTGATAAGCGAGAATAGACTTATTTGTCGGAAGTTTCGGATGATTTTCATTCGTGAATATCATTATAATTTATCTACGTTTTTTTTGTTTGAACAGGTTCACGTTTATGTTCAGTTTTTGACTGTTTGCTTAGACGTTTTTATTTCAATTCCGCTATGACGTCACTAAGTCGAAGAATAGGTTTCCATTGGCCCGGTGGGCGGAGTCGGATGCGCGCGCACATTTGAGGTTAGATCCTGACCCAACGATAGGATTTAAACAAATTGAATCTTGTTTTAAAATTTACAAAGTGATCTACTTTATCTCTAAAATGTATCGGATTGTAATCATACACTTGAGAATTAGCAATTGTCCCTCAATATTATTCGGCAATTAATTGATCACGTGCAATCAGAACGGTATATTTTTACAAATCAGTGGCTGTCGTAAATTATATTAGAGATTTATTTCCCCTCCTTGAGAACTAAAGCTGCCATCTCTTGGCACACGAACACACAGTTTCGTTGGCGTCGTCTCAGTCTCCTCAGCATTCTCACATATTCCTCTCCCTCCCCCCGGCATTTTCCTCCTTTTATTTCATTTTTTTATGGAACAAACTGGCAATGCCGGAAGAACTCGGGCGAACCGACTGCACTGTATCGCTGGTATAGCCATTTATTTTTAGTTATTTAGTTATGCATTACTCATTCGGGCTCTCTTATCTTATTGGTTTGTGTGTTCCTTCCGTTCATTACAATCCTCTGGATATTGTGATGACGTCTTTGGACGGGTTTCTTTACAATTCGGGATGTGGTTGGCATGATGCGAGACTTATACGGAATGTCGGGGCATTGATGAAAGACTCATCGACTGAAATTGTTATCTCTTGTTTGAGTTTCGGAAACAAATGGATTGATTGTAATTTTCCATGTTCAAGCTTCACTACTTTCCTAAGTTTTAAGTTGTGGAATATTTCACCGATGTCTTAACACAATCGCTTGATTTATCTGCTACTGACTTGTTCGATTTCTTGTTTGATTTTTTGAAGGGAATTTAGAATTTTAGATCATGATAATGCGTGGAACATTGTATTTTATGAGACGATGAGTCCTAAATTTTTCCTTTGATTCCGTCTCAAAATAAATTCTCCAACTTCGTGAACATGTGACGAAATTTTATTCAATTAAAACCCATCAGATGCTCAGTTCAATTGCCAAATGAATATCATAATTCCGTTACCATTTCAAGTATTCAATAGTTTTCAGTTGAATTAAACAATTCCATCCGTCCCAATGTACTCGTGAAACATTCAAAATCATTGATTTTCCACTCAATGGAATAATGGATATAGTTGAAAATTTAATAATGCTCAAAATTGTCGGTGACACGCATTTATTTTCGTCCCGATTTATCGATTTTCAGTCTAGTCCACCAGTTTCATCCTGAATTTCCATTTGTTCCCTTTGGCAGCGTTCACCCCCGTGTCTCTCTCTCTCTCTCGTCAGGGGTTACTTACCGTCGAGATAATACTCGGTGAAATGAGGGGAGAAGGCAGATTCGGAGCGTTAGGAAAGGGGACAAACGGGCAGTATAAAAGAAAACGTGTGGGGAGGGGGGGGGGTGAAACCTGGGGTTGAAGAGGGCTTTTGCGTCGAGGCGTAACTTTGTTCGAACTACTGGCGGACGAGACCGGAACGCGGAAGTATAAAAATTATGAGGAAGTTGGAAATTTTCAACTGCTGATGAAGAATGAATAGAAAAAGAATTCACTTCCCTGCCAAAAATAGAATTTTTTACATTTCTCCGGATGAAATGGTTCTGAGAATAATTTTTATGACTGAATAATTTCCGCAGTGAATAAAATTCGATGATAATTTCAGCCATTTTTCCATTCTTATTGTTATATCGTGAAATTTATTATCAATAAAATTCATGATTGAAATCACCAATGAATGATTGCCTGAATAAACAATAGCACTCGGTTCGGTAACCCAATAATTCTGCCAGTAGGTATATAATTCACGGTGTATTAAATATTGTCGTTTCAATCCATTCGAAATGTCGGAATATTTCCAATAAATTTAATCGTGGAGTCGTCCGTTCATCAGACAGTGACTGAATTAAAGTGGAATCAATTCGGGTGACGATGTTTTTGTGGTGAGAAATGCGGTAGTGGCTTGACCAAGCGCGAGCGTCAAGTATAGCCTGTCGGGGGTTTTAGTATAAGTACATTGGTCTTTCACGCACGCAATTAGTTATTCGCCAACACTGAATTGTTCCAAAGTTTTTGAATGAAAATCATGAATTTCAGATAAAAGACATTGTTATTCTAGTTGTTTGGTTTTTTACTCCCGTTGAAGGATTAAATTTCCTTCACTTGAAATATAATAACTAGAATTTCTCTGATCGATTAACGGTAGAATATCCGGGCAAATATTACACTCATCTGAGTAAGAGGCGTTTTGTAAATATCTCCTCTGTAATGTACCTTCATCGCAGCTCCGGACTGTACAAAGTTGGTAGAGAAACCGGTCCAGTATCCGGACCGGAAGTGCGGACCTTGGACCTGCGTCACGAATGTGTTCTTTCGTGTTTTCTTCTCATGAGGGGCCTGCGTGCTAGATGATCGTGGGTAAAAGGCGGCAAAGGGAATGCACGAACGAGTCGACTCGCCACTGGTTTCTGGGCCTCTGGATTTTATTTCACTTTTTAGTTTCATCCTTTCCCCTCCACCCTTTCGTCTTTTTTTGCCTCTCGACTCATCCTGTGGATGTCTTCAGCTTCTTTAGCACGTGATTTCCTCCCGCACTGTCTCCTCATCTTTCTCGCTTCTTCTTCAACAGGGGGGAGGGACTGAAAATCAGCGCAAAAGGAGAATCCCAGTGCATGGATGGATGGCATCCGGTGTTGGTGCCTCCTGTTCCTTAGATTTCTCGGGGAATGCACTCGACCGATGCAGCCAGTGAAACGTTAAACCAAAATATGAGGGAATTAATGAGTTTTAAGGATATTAACTGTTAGTAACTCGCACTATGAAAAAAATGCTTCATTCCTATTCGGGAGAAAGGATCGTTTTCAATTTTTACATCTCGGAATTTCTGATGAAAAAAAATCTGACAAACCTCCTTCGCGCTCAATTTATTTCTCTCGAAGAATTTTGTTTTTTCTTTCAAGTATGTAGAGCACTGATGGTCGGTAATGAGGTTGCAAATACTGTTTGAACACATATTTTCTCATCCGCAAATAGAGCATGCGAAATTGACCAATTGCACGGTATTTACCCGATAATTACGGAATTTTAACTAATAGCGGTTTTCGTGGCGTGGTTTTTTTTTCTACTCATCCAGATGTATGTTTTCTTGAAATTTGAGGACAAAAATGTCGATAAAACAGATGCACCCCTCACCCCCTCCCCCCCCCTGCCTGTTGGGCTCCAATTACACGTCGATATTCAAAAGAAAAAGTTGTTTGAAAGAAACACACTCGGATAAATTGCTATAAAATCATTGGTTCACGATAATTTTATACTTCAATTCGTCAGAGGTTGAACTCTCTTCCTCATCTCGTCCGGTCAGACCTGACGTTCTGATTCTATTATTGTACTCACTTCCTCTTAGAATATTTATACTACTGCTCACCAGACAGCTCATTCGCACCTATAGCCCTGCTCTCGTACAAAACCCATCATTCAACGGTATTAAACGGCATGAATTTTTATCGTTCGTCGGGTTATTTCGTTTCTTCATTCTCTTTTTTTCGTGTTTTAATGCCTCAAGACTTTTGGTATTTTATCGTTTAGTATTTTGTGAGCGACCTTTGATACACTGACTCGCTGGCTATTTTGTAAAGACTTGTAAATCCTCCATTATCTCTTGGGAAGTGATTTACAATTTTTCCTCATGCGCCGGAAGACAAATAGTGTGGAAACAATGGGATGTATTGGTCACCGAGAGAATATCGTGATGACTGTTTTCATTTTTATTTCTAAATATTTATTCGGGTGGGGTGAAGAATACTGGTCAAAACAAAAGTTCATTGCTCTAATGAAGCATTTTTTATGAATTAATAATCAATTTGTAAAGTTACTACAACGAGTTCAACTGTAATTTTAAATTTATCGTCATGAAATATTTCTATATTACTATTCTATTCTTGAATAATTGCGGAAAAAATTTATTTCAATTAATTTTGAGCGAAAGTAGCTTTTGTAAATTTTGAAATGCATTCTCCATCGTGAACATTGCATGAATAATATCCGGAATTCTCCCAAATTCATGATGAATGTAAATTTGAACACATATTGGTTTAAATTTCCCGGAGTGTTCGTCCTGTTTGAACAGAAAGGAAATGATATCACTGGGTTTTAAAATGAAGAAAGGCTGATTGGGCCGGGGAGAGGAGGCTGTTTCAAGTTTTTTTGTGGCAGTCACACTGGGGGACCCACGCATCGTTTATCGTCTCTAAAGAGAGAAAACTAACCTGTCACAGCTGGTCGCACCATTCAATCACTTTCCCCATG